ACGTCTCCGGCGACGCATCGAAGTTCAGCCTCCTTTTTCTTTGACGCTCTGCAGGTGACAACGGATAGACCGGCGTGTCCTTGAATTCCTTGACCATCGATATAGATGAATAATCAGAATCAACGAGAATAGGCAGCGGTGTGGGAAGTAGAGGTGCAGTACGGTGCGGAACTCTGACGGCTAGTCGATAGCTGGGGTCAACGCGACCGCTCAGCACGGGCGCAGGCTGCCGAATGAACTTAATAGTGCTTACTTGGGTACTATTTCACATTAGTTGACCCAAAAATGAAAATCGCGGATTTCGCGAAAACTTCGTCTGAGGGGTTATTTTGCACGCTGATTACGAATACGCATTTATTTCGCGCGGTAGCGCCATTCGGTGCAGTTACGGTAGGATTACGGTGGAGGGGGGGTCAAGACCAGGAATTTGCCCCTAACTTTGTCCAGGGGGGAGGGGGGGTATTTGGCACGCTGAACATGGAAAACATATTCTTTCGCAGGGTAGTGCCATGTTCTCTCGGGTTACGGTGGGTATACGATGATGATTAAAAATCCCGAATTCGCTCAAAACTTTGCGTAAAGGGATTCCACAGCACGATGATTACGAATATCATGGTTTTTTGCATTTTGGAACTTTTTCGCGGAATTACGATAGGTGTACACTGGGTGGCCAAGTAATAGATCTGCTGGGACCTTTGTGTGGGGGTGTTATCTGATGTGCTGATCACGTATAACGCTCCTCTTGCACGATAAAACTTCTCCGTGGATTTTTGAGATCTAAAATTTGCTGAAAAACGGAAAGTTGTCTTTCACGCACTGTACCAGTCATAACTCTGATAATAAGGCATTGTTGCACCGAACGAGCATGATATTTGCAATTAGCATGTTTAGGAACCCCTTCAGGCAAAGTTTTGAGCAAATTTGGGACCCTTAGCCATCCACCGTACATCCATCGTAGCCAAAAAAACCGGGGAAATCCGTGAATTCCCCCCTACTTTCCTACCGTACATCCACCAGATGGCACTACCGTGCGAAATAAGTTTGAAAATAGTCGTAATAAGCTTGCAAAATAACCCCTTTAACGAATATTCAGCGAAATCCGCGACTTCCATTTTTGGGAAGTACAGGGCTTATCAACAGGGTCAAGCGTGGGGTGCGGCACGCCACACCTGGGGGGTCGTATTGAGGAGTCAAAAGGGGAGGGGGTCGTAAGTGCGTAATCTGATAATAATGATAACATGATATTTGTATCGTATCCATAATTAGCATGTCAATTAAACCCTGTAGACAAAGTGTGAACGAATTCTGAAGATTCAAGATACTAGGCTACCTAAATGAAATGGTCAAATTCCAACATGGTTAACTTTGTTTAAAAGGTAAATTAGCTATCCGTTTTTGCACTCAAGACAAAACACTACTCCTTCTTTGTCCACCCCAGGAATCCCGCTTCAGAAGACCTGCAAACTGTGGAATTAGAAGCCAACCAAAATCTCGTTTTTCCCATTTTTCGCTTTTGATCGCTGTGCTTTCACCAAATATTACTCAGAGCTAAGAAGACGAATCAGGCTCCAAACAGTCCTATGGAATCTAAAAGGTTTAGGCTATCGATTCATATAAATACTGTCCGCTAAAAATGTTATTTTTGATATAGTTAATGGGGTGCGGCACACCCCCTTAACTTGCCTTCAAAATCCAGAAAGCGCTCCATTGCTGGTATGAGTATTGAGCACATGGCTTCTTCTTGCTACACTGGAAATTTGGAGCCGAACGCCCCACCCACAAGAAAATTATGGCCCTTTCAATTGTCCATTCAGATCAAAATCAGCCGCAAATTACGTGTGATTGTAAAGTGCAGTCACAGAAAATCGGGCGTACAGCTCTCAGAAACCCGAAAACTCTCTAGGAAAAGCTGGTGTCCTCCAGAATGTCACACCTTGAGGTCCAGAGGTTAAGTGGAGGAAGAACGGGTCGTTTGAGGGCTTTCATGGGGGGGGGGGGGGGGTTGTTTTCGAAAGACTTGTGCCTGACCTCTTCCTCAACTCTGGTAATGCTATCTTAGGTATATAGTTCAGGGGGGGGGGGAGGGTCTTATTAAGACAACAATCAGGGGGGGGGGGGGGGTCGTAACCAGCGATCGTGTGCCACACCCCTTGCTTGACCCTACTTATCAAGCGCAGTGTCGCTTGCATCAGCATCTCCACTTCGCGCTGGACTCCGCGCGTCTCTTCCGGAACATGCTCTCTAATTACTTATCGTCCCTTCCACATTTGCTGCTACCCTTCTGGCGTCGCAGACGTGCCACATGTAACTAACACGATGACAACGTTGGCAGCAACACATTGGCAACATGCAGCAACATGTTGGCGTGGCCAAAATGTTCTGCCAACATGTTGTGGCATGTTGCAAACATGTCGTTGCCACGTTGCCAACATGTTAGCCACACGTGACAGGTCTGAGACGCAGACCAAGGGTCACGAGCTATGGAGGGGACGTTACAATTGATTGAGGCTCCGCCTTTCCCACGCTCGCCGTGGGGAAGTGACCAGGGATGTTGAAGAGATAACAGGATTATAAAAGTCAAACCAACATCGTTTTTGACTTAGGCGTCAAAAAATAAAAAGTGCGTACGTCCGCATAGTACGGACTTTGCATTTAATTTGACGCCTAATATCAGAAAAATGAGAGTTACTCATTTCTGACCGTCTTTTCGACTCGAATGTATTACGGAACCCAACAGGCATATGGACACAAGAGTTACAAACAAATTTTGAAAATCAGAACACAACGGTTAGTACTAGAGAGCCTGTTTTTTAAAATTATCTGTGGGTGACACTAGAAACTTGTTTGTATTTGATAACAGTTGTGCATGTATCTACTCGATTACGATCTCCTCTTCCCCGCGTTGCACGGTTCTGACCTCATGAAGGTTTTATTCGGGCAAAATGCCGCAGGCGCACAAAGGTTGTGACCTGTATCTCATGTAGCCATAACTAGTTGACTGGTATTGTTTCGGAGATGCCTCATGATTATTCATAGATCCATTATCAAGCAAGATTATTTACAATCTTGTTCGCTACAAGCTGTGCACCTGTTATTGCGAGGTCAGTGATGTCGTAGGTATATTATGTGTACGAAATATCGAAATAAAAGAACTTATGATTTTGGCATGAGCTCATTATCTAACTATCACCTTGGGCGGCGCCGCGTTATGGAGCAAAGCTACGCCGCATTTGCCTCTGGTATAACCTGAGGGCCCCTTGCGTTGTGTCGCTCCTAATTGCAGTCGCAGAGGAGCTAGCGCTACCGAGCGAATTGAGCCATTTTCCTCACTCTTCATAGATAAAGAGATCAAAATGTGAATGATAAACGCATTTCAAGGGCAAATATAGAATTTGAAAAGGAAAAGTCTGCAAAGCAAGCCAAGAGAAAGTAAGAGATGAGTAAGTAAATTTCTCTTGGAAACTCATGACGGAAAATTCCTATCCTTTTTTTCTACTGATTCTCGTGTTCCACTTCTCTCGAAAATTTTTAAATCAAATCAAGCGCATCATCTCAGATCCAGCCTTTGATTCATCCTTATAAATTTATTTTTTTGATTTTCTTAATCGTCTTCTTTGTTCTCCTTATTGCATCTATACAGTTTCAACATATTAGGTCGCGGTAGTAGGGGATGGCTCAATTCGCTAGCAGGAGCAGCGCTACTCCTGCGCAATTAAAAGCGACGCAACGCAAATGGCCCTCAGGATATACCGCAGGGGAACGCCGCGTAGCTTTGCTCCATAACGCCTGCCCCCCATCACCTTGAACATTTCGCTGAAATTGAACTTGAATTTCTAAAGTTTCTTGAAAAAATGCTTATTGTTTTTTTGTTTTGCGAACAACCATAGCTAGAAAAAGGGAATCGAAAACGTATAAATCCCAGTTCTGGCCATGTCCGGTCCACTAAAATTCCTGAACTTCAACCTAGAATACTTTTTTGAAACCTTACTTTTAGCTTTCAGCAACAGACATTGCTACTGAAAAGAAGGACCTCGGGATCATATAAATCCCAATTTGGGCCGTGATTGGTTCATTGTGATCACTGAACTTCACTTTGGAGTACTTTTCGAAGTCTCAGTTTTGTTGGGTTCCGTAATACATTCGAGACGAAAAGACGGTCAGAAATGAGTAACTCTCATTTTTCTGATATTAGGCGTCAAATTAAATGCAAAGTCCGTACTATGCGGACTCTACGCACTTTTTATTTTCTGACGCCTAAGTCAAAAACGATGTTGGTTTGACTTTTATAATCCTGTGAAGAGATACAGAGTCCAGCGCGGGAAAGGAGATGCTGATGCAAGCGACACTGCGTTTAATAGGCCCTGTAAGTGATGTGGAATCGCGCTTTCTTAGCATTCCGACGTCTAGGCCAGCAACAAGTGTCAGCACGGGAAAAGCGCCCGATGAGCCACCATGACGCCATTCGCACATTTTCATCAGGCGGCGAATTTGGAAATATTGATTCTTCTTCATTTTCCGAACCATGATTCAGCTTGTCCTTGCTTGTACTAGTCACAAGATTGTGATAGTGGGAAATCTTACAAGCTTATGTTCATCAGTGGTCTTAGCGACTGTCGCATCTGGGATTTTCCAGTTTTGGTAGTTAATCATTATATTGGTATTAACAGCTCTCATATGCCGAAATTAGTGTTGCGAAGCAAGGAACATACAGAACAAAAAGGTCATACGCTAATGTCCAGAAAAGTACCGTTTCATCAAGATTATCGGTACTATGTGCTTTGAATTTCTCCAAGACCAAGACGCTCAAAAAATTTTCAGTCTAAGGCGATAGCATAATCGCTGTATACAAGTTATGTGAGCTCTATGTTATGTGACGAGGGCATTTCTCTTTTTTGTGTCTGTATGCAAACCGCTTTATATTGTTTGAATAAATTAACGAATCTATTGGGCATCTATCGCTTATGCCAGAGTTTCGATTCAAACATATATGTATTCTTTTTGCTGTTCAAGATACTGTGCAATGAAGAAGAAAGGTCTGAAAATCAAAAAGCTGCACAAAGGCGAAGTCTTGAAGATTAGCCGAAAGCGGAAAGCGACTGAGGTAAGTTTGTCACGTTTCTACGAAATCAAAAGGCGTTCCTTTAGCGCATGTAGTTTCTTTTTCCAGTCTTTTCAAGCAGCTTTTTACATGTTTCTTTATCAAGGCAGAGGATGAATCTTCCGACGGAGAGGATATTTCAATTTCTGATGAACCGAAACTAGAAAAAGAAGCTCCATCAATGCAAGTATTAGGAGAAGATCGGTCTGATGAAGAAGGGGATTCGGATAAAGAGGTACTGTATTCACGAAGACTCTCATTTTCGTTTTTTGTCTCAATCGTTTTTTCAGTTGCAAATTGCTCTGCGCGATGGACTTCTAAAAACTGATCGTCTTAATTACATGGTCGAAGCAAAGCGACCAATCATTAACAAAACCGTGAGTTCCGCTTTCAAATTATAGCTAATGTTTCTTCGAACAAATGTTGCTTTCCTAACAGCAACTTCACTAACCTTACCGCTCCCAGCGGTCCAGTTCAGAGTTTGCCAAAAGTCGATAAAGTCAAGTGATGCAGTTAATGTTTTCACAAATAAATGTTCCTCAAATAATTAGCAACTGCACTCATTTCTTTAGCAGCTCCCATTCCCCCCCCCCTATAAAGGCAGTTGTTAATGAAGATTATTACTGTATTCCTATACAGTGATCATCATGCTCACTTACATGGCTTACACATTGGCTCATAAGAAGAATTGTCTGTTCGAAACATTCTAATAGACACATAGGAAGACGATGAGCTTTATTATTAATGCTCTCTCTTCTTGTCTTTTTGCATTCAACATCATATTTTTTTGTATAAAGCAATACCACGTGCGACTGCCGTAATCTCTTCATTATACTACATTTTATTAAGGCGGAAATACGTGAGAAGATCGCACAGTTTGCGAAAGCGTTGCCATGGATTGAAACTGTCGACGTTACCACGAAGTCCACTCTCACGAAAGAGATGATTAACAACGATTTTGAGCGAGAGATGCAATTGTGAGTTGACGTGATTTCCGTTTAGTTTCAAGTAACACCAGCTCACCAGCAGCACCACCATCAATTGTTTGTTTTTTTGCAAGCCATCTATCGTTCTGCATGAATTTTTTCATGGTCACATTTTTCAGCTATAAGCAGGCTGAAAAAGCTGTGCAGTTCGCTGTACCTCGTCTTCTAGCAATGGGAATCAAAGTGATACGGCCACCCGATTATTATGCAGAGATGGCGAAAAGTGACGGTCACATGCAAAAGGTGCCTTTTAATACTTACTTCTTGGGTTTTTTCCACAACTGATGTTTATTTAGGTGAGGAAAAGGTTGTTGAAGATTCAAGAAGGGAAAGAAAGACAAGAAGCAATACGCCGGATGCGTGAAGAGAAGAAATACGCGTCGAAAGTCCAAAAGGTTAGAAGGAAAGCTACTAATCACATCATATTATCATGCAGAGGATGCCTCAAAATTTCATCCTTTGTATGATCATCTCAGTTATTTATAGGAAGTCCTGGACAAACGTTTGAACGAGAAGAAACAGTTGATGGAAGCTGTTAAAAAGCACAAGAAGGGAATGAAACAACAGTTAGAGGATATGTTGAACAATGTCAAACGAATGGGTTTGGATCAGGTTTGTGCGCAGTTTCATGAAAATATATTGTCCGTATCTAAATTTGCGAGTTTTTGCATCTGCTCAAATAGTTTTGAGATCTTCATCAATGGTAGTTTATATATGCTAGTTTAGGAAGATGAGCCCTCTCCTAGCGTATCAGCAAACAAGGGTGTTGCAAAGAAGTTTGGTCGTCCTGGCACAGGGAGAGGATTCGATGCCAAAAAACAATGGAAAAACGAGAAGTTTGGTTACGGTGGTAAAAAGAAAGGAAGCAAGAGGAATGACAAAGAAAGGTGCGTCACTCATGCTTTTGAGGAATATCTTTTAATTTGTTACAGCGAATTCTTTTTTTCCCGCAAAGTACTATTTACAGTTTTGAAAATGTGCCTGAAGGCAGAAGTAGCTTTGGTGGAAGGGGCCGCAGTGGTGGTTTTCGTGGTAAATCACGAATAAGAGGTGGTCGATCTCGGGGTGGTAGACGATAATACTATCTTGATTTTTCTTGAAAATTGTTTCCATTATTTGTTATAGCCGTGATTTGTTGTTGTCCGTTATTGAAATAGTTGTTTCGTTACTGTTATCTCTATAAATACAATTGTTGATGGCAGTTGGTCGATCGATTTCAGTGCGGTTCATCCCACGATACGCCTATTCAGAGCATTACGTTTTGAACCTGTTTCTTTTCAAATCAGTGTCATAGCAGAATTTTCTCTTGACTTCGATCGTTGATCACTTCAGAAGAGTGATGTTGGAGACCATTCTACTCAAGAAACTGTTAGACGCTTTTTTAGCTAATGAATGACTTATAGGATCGATTGCTCCACCAGCAACATGCCGATCGGAACCAGTTTCATTTGCTAGAAGTGCATCACTTTTAGATGGATTAGTGCGTTTAATCTAGCTTGTCTAACATCGTAATGTTGCTTCATTTTGTATCGGGAATAATCATCTTTGGTATTCGTTTATCCTGTGCCCTTCTTCCTTACTTCTATCTTCTTCGACGCGGCCACAATGAGGACAAGTGAGTTAATTAACTTTTCTGTAAGCTATGTTTCAGTGTCAGTTTTAGGCGAATCTTCTCATTGTCGATATGCAATTGCATCGCTTGTGGTATATTTTTATCGGTGTGTTTTTTCGGGTTGATCCCTCATGTTCATCGGGAAGAAGATGTCATCAGGTCAGTGTGTTCAGAGGATTTTTGCCATTTTTTCTTATTGTATTTCGCCTGTAATATCTATCGTTAGTGTTTAATGCAGTTACTTCGATCAAACTCAGATATTTATATATGCTCGTATTTGCTGCTAATGAAGTTCCGTGTAAATAAGATGCTGCATCCATCCCAGATATCGTTGCGGACAATTCATGCTACCCGACCTAGGATCAAGTAATTGCAAATTAGTGCTAATTACCACTGATAGTGTTGCTTATCCTTTTATATGGTAGTGTGCTCCTGTAGGTTTCTAAGCTTTGAAGAGATGCGCATTGGTTGATTTTCACTCCACCAAGAGCTCGAAATCGCCTATGACAATCTCTTTTATGAAGAGGAAAAACATGGAGTTGATTTAATCAATACGAATAAGAAATGTTGATTAGAACTGGGAATACATCACGGTCTCTTCTGAATCAAGCATCCTTGACTTCCTAATAACAGCTGTCGAGTAGATCTTCCGCTTGGTATAGACTGCTTGCGTTGTTGAATTGCAGTAAAATTTGTGCGTGAACGAGTAACCACGCCGGATTCTGCGCGTGCAGGTGGCCAGCATCGCTGGCGTAGCTATCTGTTCACTCGCAAATTTTATCGCATTTTTTTTTTGGGGTACTGAAGTATGGGGGGATTGAAGATGGGGGAAGTGGCACAGTGGTATGAGGCGCCGCTATGACCAGGTCGAACTAAGGTTGACCCTGTCCCTGGCCCGGAAAGTTTCTTTTCCTCTGGGGACGGTAAGCTGGTACTCAGAATAATAAGGGTAGGGTAAAGCGACTTGGTTACCGGTTAACTTCACAAGTAAAGGTTCGCACGCATTCAGCTGCCTTTTTGAAAGCGGAGTTTATCCTTTTATTTAAATGTCCAGATTCGATTAGCGCCTTGAGGAAATCTCTGCAAGGCGTGGCTAACATTGCTCACTTCAGTGGGAGATTTCTCTCCCCTTTCCTCTTTCCCGTCCGAAATCTTTGTATCTGGCAGTGGTGTGCGCTTCTGTATCGCAGATTCTTGTCAATTCGTTTTCATATGTTTATCTTATTACCACATTTGTAACATATCAGACAGCACATATCATGTAACCAGAATGTAACTGCAGAACAAGTTGGAATGCTTCTACTAATGGTGAAATTACTAAACGGGACATCTTTTTGAGCACAGAATTGATGGTTATGCTGGGTTTTTTGATGATGCTGATCATTGAACAGGTAATTTTTTGCTAATACTATGGATCATGTTCGCACAAAGTCTTCTGCTTGCTGGCATACTCTTTGCTTCATATCAGCACATTCAGGTTGCTTTGAGTTGCTGCAGTGCTCAATTAAATGCGAAAACATCACCTGCTGGTGTCAATGCTCCACCATCACTGCGATCGTTGCTAGATGGAGAGGCGGAGGACGGTCAACCGCTTGTGGACACGACTCTAGATGATCACGATGATGGCATGCAGGACATCGTGTTTAGATCGGTAGGTCAACTCGTTGCTTTCAGTATTTGATAAATTGTTATTAAGGCATCTCCTGTCGAGCACTCTTCTCATAGTCGATTGCTTCACGTATCACCTCCACAGGAGGGGATATCGGCACGCACGCTGTTCTTATTATTCGGTCTATCTACTCATTCATTGTTTGAAGGAGTTGCTTTGGGCGTTCAGGTAATGCGAAACTCATTGAAGTTTTCGATGAGTTTCATGGGGTTTTATCTACTTTTTCAGCATGAAAAGCGCGAGTTCATGAATTTGGTCTTTGCTATCATGATCCACGAGGTAATCATAATAAGTTTATCATCGTCGTTGTTCACGTTCGATACTAGGTTCTTTGCTGCATGGCTTACGGTATAGCGATGGCTCAACAGTTTACCCCCTTACGCCCCGCATTCTTCACCGCAGTTATTTTGGCGAGTAGCATACCAACCGGGATGATGGGAGCTACTTTGGTAAGTCCAGCAAACAGATGAGTTGTCACAAAACGGTCATTCTTTCAATATGCAGATTTTTTTTGGAATTTTGTTGAGATTTCCTTCGCCTGTTTACTTTTATCTGAGATTCATGAAAGAATGTAAACAGTATTAGGCAAATGCTACTGATTAATTAATTTTCGAAGGTTTTGGTGTTGGAACATATACAATGCAAAGCAGTTCGTGCGATACTTACTGACGTTTGGTTGAGATTTTCGTTTTATGTGTTAATCGTCATGTGCTTCATGCACTATCTGCGCATGTTTAACTCATGCTTCTTTTCATCCCGTCTACTTTTTGGTGGCAGTGTCGAGCGATTCCGTACTGATCTGTCTTCAATTTACTGATGTTTCAATACTGCTTTCTGAACTTTCAGCTGAGCCACTTCCACTCGAACTCGCTTTTGCTTCGCTTCATCTTGGAAGGCATGGCAGCCGGAGCATTTGTATATGCAGCTTGCGTTCAAATGCTAAGTGCTGAGCTCAAATCTTCATCATCACATCGCGTACCGGACTGTCATGATAGTCAGGATAGCCACACTCAGCCGTCATCACCTCATCAGGTAGTTCTGAAATATCCGTTATGCATCAATTCTTTTGAAAGGTTTTGTTTTAGGGCCTTATGAAGGCAGCGGCTGTCACATTTGGAGTTTTTCTTTTCTGGAGCTTCAAGCTCGCTAGTGGGGGACATCATTAGCTTTGGACGTTCATCAAAAATGCTTAAATCTAGGGATTTGTTAAGTGGGCGGAATTTCTGTTATTTATTGTGTCAAGCATCAGATTTGTCATGGCTGAGAATACAATTTCTCTTATTTGCGTTTGTGCATAGTGCTTACTATCGATCTCTTGCATTCACAAGTATCTTTAGCATTGAATTGATACTTTCCCATGCTAGTCTAAACTATTTCGGGATTTGTAGTTCCACTATTTGAACTTGTAATAAATTAGTGTACTTTTTCAGATCAATGTGTGCTATTGTTTGTGACCGGTTCGTCCAATTTATCAGACAAATGAAGATGTTTTCCTTATAGAATCAGGACAAATGTGTTATCAGTAGTTTTCGAGAGCACCTCATTACAAGTAATTGCCTATTCTTCAGACTGACATCAACATTAGCAAAAAATCATGAATTTCTATGTACATTCTTGTCAAACGTTTGACATAATTGACGAGCGATCCTACTATCAGGCGACCTATAACGAGCTTCGGTATGCCTTTGCGGTTCTTTGCGAACTTTAGAATCGGTGAAAACAAGCTAAAACATGACTTACAATTAGAATTGTGTGTTCTTACAGCGTAACATTAGACGAACGTTTGTTCCTTGTTAATGGTCCCTTTATGATGGATAGTCAGTTTGAGGCGTTGAAAAGGGAAGGACGACGTATACGTAAGAGGAAAAAATCGACTTCTGCGAGTCCAGAGCTCATTGAAGTGAGTAGAAGGGATTATCTAGAGGTGATCTATGCTGAATCCATATTTTGTACAAGCTTCAGGAAATTACTAGAATTGAAAAGATCTCGAAAGAGATTCGAGAAACGGGCAATCGCTTGGGATACTTTACTGCTCAATGCGAACATGACAACAATCGTGTGGCGAGAACTGCAGCTAGCGAACTCATGAATCAGGCCGTCGTGTGGTTCAATCCTGAAACGATCTCATCCCCGGAAATCGTTCCTTTGGAGGACAATAGGTTGGTTGAGGTCAACAGTTTGAGCTTGGAGGTAAAGTTTCATGAGAGAACGTTACTTGGTAGAGGGGAGTATCGACGAGTCAATGGTAACTTAGTACCTATCCGTATTGCACACCATGCAACAGACGAATTTTAAGATTTGGACCTGCTCATTCCAGCGAATTTCCCTTGCATCCTTTTCTCTTTTGTTTGAACTGGATATATTCGTCAGTAGTACACATCTGTACACTTTTTGTTACGCTAGAAAAGATTTTTAAGGGAGTTACTAGCAAGAGTGTCGTCCGCTGCCGCGCATAATGTGCAAACTCACAAATTAGTTCACAAATGAATCGAGAATAGAAAGTATAGGAAGTCTATAATTGTTCATAGTGATCCTTAAGCCTGACAATTCTATTGTAAAAATAGAATTGCAATTTTACGAAAATTATTCTTGTTCAACTAATGGTAAGTGGAGAAAACTAAGAACTTTTTCATTAGGTTTATTTTTGATTTTTTTTACTTTCATGGCATATAAACGCGAGCAAAACCCTATTCTTGGCATACCTCCACGTCTACTAGAGACCTTAAAAATTAGCTTTTTAAATAATTTTTGTAAATAATAAATAATTAAATAGTCTTCGCTCGACTCTGTATAACTCATTTTCCAGCAGTTTCATTCTTAGCCGTGAGTACTGTATGCTGAACTCATGGTATAGAAACGAATCAGAATCATGCATACGTTTGAATGTATCAGGTAATGGGATTAGCCTAATTTTTTGCGACTTACTCATAAATATTTCCAGTTAAAGAGGGTGAAGCTGCTCTTGTGTACTACGTCCCACCAAGATCTACTTTTCATGTGGGCCCCGTTATTGATATTAGGAACTTCGCCGCGTTGAATGGTAATATTCTTTGATTAGAGGAAGGGGGGGGGAGGAGAGGGAGTCACTTAAATTTCGAACAAATAATCTCAAAAGCAGCTGTCAGCTGCAGTTCCAACAAGGGACCTCTCAAATCAGAGTAATACAGTGTGCGCGAATACAATGTTCCCACACATGTCTTCTCATGCTCGTAAGGCCCCGGACAGACTTCACGCGACTTAATCGTCGCGATCTAATCGCCAAGATTTCCATTCATTTTCATTTCACATTCAAAAATTTCGGGCTGGAAAAGTATCACAACCGAATGCAAGTTGATCGGCATGGAATGATGTTGTAACAGTTGTCTCGTCGCGATTCAGTCGCGACGATCAAATCGCGTGAAGTCTGCTTGGGGCGATCTGAAAGCTAAAGATGTGTCTCATTCTTAGCTTTGATGGCCAGCTAAAATGTGAGTTCTCAGCAGCTTGAGCATTTATAGATCGAGGCGCGCTTTGTTATAATTTTCATCCTAAAGGCACTGCCTACTGTAAACATGGTGTAGCTGGTTTTTTATTGAGTAGTTACAAAGTTTTATTTGCTTTTTTTCAAACGAGCGCCGCATCCTGCAGATCAAATGTTTCCGGAAAATTTTGGCTGCATTCGATACAACTTCTTATCTTCTTCAAAAGATTACAACTGCATTGCATTGGACCAACCAGCTCTCAGGAAACCACCAAAATCCTCGACTCATGTTTTTTACCAAGGTCGAGTTTCACTATGTTTTTAGTTTTTATACACACCTTCCGAAGAAGTCGCGGTGACGTATGCATAGAGCAAACCCTACAGGATGCGAAATAATTTTTTCGTCCTTTCCATAGCTCGTCATAATTTTTTGACAATATTGTATTAGGTTGTCCGGAAATTAATGCCCGTTTTCAATTTCAACCGCAGTAAGTCATGCACTTCTCATTTCTAAATAGGTTGCTAAGTACCATTCGATAGAGCAAAGCAAGCTCTACAAGAGAGCCATCTTGCTTTTGCAACAGCTCTCATCCACCTCGAGTTTTGAGCCAAAAACCAAAAAGACTCAGCAACCCGAAAAATCGAAAAAAATCGTAACTCACATCAGTTCATAAAAATCCTACGAAAATTCTTACTTGCTCACTAAACACTATCTACATAAAACACCTATATACGCCTTTGCCGTATTTTTACTCCTGTAAGGAATCAAAAAAGCGGAAATTTTCGTGCACTTGCCAAAGTGACGTTGTGCAGTTCCCACTTAGGTAGTTGTATACCACAAGCCTGTAGAAGTACAGACTTGAATTTTCAGCTTTCTACAAGCTTTAGTTCTCGAGAATTACCGAACATAGCTTTCCCTAGTTAGCTGGCTCAAGTTAAAATCCAAATTTCTCGAGAACTAAAGCTTGTAGAGAACTGAGAATTTACGTTTGTACTTCTACAGGTTTGTAGTATACTACTACCTATGTGGAAACTGCACAACACCACTTTGGCAAATGGACGAAAATTTCCGATTTCTTGATTTCTAACAGAGGAAAAAATACGGCAAAGACGTATATAAATGTTTTATGTGGATAGTGTTTACATGAGCAAGTAGAATTTTTGTAGGATTTTTATGAACTGAGTTACGATTTTTTTCAATTTTTCGGGCAGTTGAGTCTTTTTAGCCTTTGGCTCGAAACTCGTGGTAGATCAGAGCTGTTGCTAATGCAAAATTGCCATCTTGTAGAGCTTGCTTTGCTCTATCGAATGGTACTTTGCAACCTATTTAGAAATGAGAAGTGCATGACTTATTGCGGTTGAAATTCAAAACGGGCATTAATTTCCGGACAACCTAATACTTCATATTATCAATTTCCATATTTGGTCAAGAAACCTCTAAGTACATCAACCGATAAGCAATTCGGGTGTCTTCGATGCAACTTTTTCTCCTCTTTTTTGACGGGTGTTCTTTGTTTCTCATTCGTAAAGTCTTCGCGGATATAATTGTCATATATTTTCAAACGCACACCATGCTGTACCCGATAAATTCGAGATTTGATACTATGGAAGTTCCAAATTCGATATTTATTGGTCTGATGCGCTCGTTTAAGATAGGCTTGCTAAAATACGTCGGTTTTGATTAAAATCTCACTAATAAATTTTAACGAGGTATAGGAGAAACAGATTGTTCTTATATTCTGTATAGGCATAAAAATATAGAGAAAGGTAAAACTTGACCATGGCAAAAACCATGACTCGTCTAAAATTTGGCCATAGCAAACACCATGAGTTGTAGTATTTGGTCTTTTTTTTTGAAAGCTTTTTGATGAACGCGGAAACCAACGTCCAAAAGAGGATGAAAAGTTGCATCGGATGCACCCAACTTTCTAAGGTCTTTGTTGTGTGGAATGTTACTCTTTGAAAAAACGATAAATTTTGGAAGTCACGCATTTGAAAAAAAAAACAAAAACAAAATCACTTCCGGAACGACCATATATATAATTTTTTGGGTTTATTGACTACAATCGTAGAAAAATCATCATCCTAGTCCAGACATATCTCTACTGCACTAGAGGACACTGATTGCTGCAAGAGTGCTGTCTGAGGCAAAATTCTAAGCCAATGGTAAAATTTTGTTCATAAAACTGGTATCTAATCAATGCCTTACCTAGTCAGAGTCCCCCAGATAGTCGCCCAATTGGATGGAGACACTCAGCAGACACCCATCCCATCGAATCCCACCAGTTAACCAATCGAAAAGCTGAGAGCTCTTGCCAAACTGAAGCTTTTTTCTAGTTCAAAAAAAGGGAATGTCACTTTTTTGATTGCTAGCCGAAAAGTGAATGAGGCTCAGCTAATGCTGAAGAAATCTATGTACCTGCTATCATTACCTTGTATTAGTGAACCAGTAATCTGAAGGTGCTAGTTTGCGAACGTTCGCCCGGAATATGCGCGGTTTTCCTCAATTTTACCTTTTGAATAGGCACAACGATTTTTCTTGTATAGATTACCGTACCATGTGCGTCAGAAGCAGTTCGCTTGCAGAAGCCATCTGTATTTGTTGTGAAACTGTGAAATTATTCTAGATGAAACGTTTGATTTGATTGTGATGGATCCTCCGTGGGAAAATCTGACAGTCAGGCGGCAGCGGAGGTATGATTTGGCTGGCTAACTTGAAATTCGATACTCCGGAAACCGTTTGTGTGCTGAGGTATCGAAATTTTCAGCTACGCCACCTGCGACTCTGCGTTGAATGGATTGAACATGGATTGTCTGGCACCGAATGGATTGGTAGCCATTTGGATCACCAATCGGAAAGGTGAGTTGCCTATTGCACAGATTTCAAAGATTGTAAGACTAAGGCTTTCACTCCAGAATTCACTCAAAAGCAGTGTACGGAGTACAATACTTGATCAGCAGTAGCAGTCTTGCTTCAGGCATTCGTTCGATACTGTCTTTTTTTACCACTAAGATCTGAAGGGAAGTGCAGGGTAGTGAAATCCAACACTGCTCAAAAGCGATGAATTGAATTTGTGATAAGAACGAAAGTGGTCTTTATATACTAGTTCCCATCTGAAATGTCGGAATTCAATGTCTATTTTGTTCCGATATTGTGTGACGCATGAATAATATTAGGTTGATTCATAAATAATGCACGTTTTTTAAACTTCAACTTCCGTAATAATTCTTTTCCATTACCATCTTTTTGAGTGCGACAAGAACTTGTGCAAACAGGAAATCTTTGGCTATACAATGCATACTTTGGTATACCTCACTATGGAAAAACATTTTCTAGCTTAAAAACTGCCAAATAATTTTTAGGGGAAGCTTTAGTTTGAGAGGGCATAACTATTCGAAAACTAATATGGCACAAAATTTGCTCATTTTATAACAGATGGTCTTGATTCATGTATTAAAACGTAACTTTACGGGAAGTTCCTGCGAAAAATTTGGCCAATAAATCCAAAGAAAAGGCAAAAAAACTGCTTTTTTGGATTTCTATCACTCTTCCTTTTTGGTAAACGAGGAAATCGTGGCTTTTTCCTTCATTAGTTGCACTGGGTCCCTCTATCTGTAAAAAGCGAAAATTTTGCACTCGCTTTCTGCCTAAGATTTCTATACAGCCTAGAGTGGTCCCAGGAAGTAGCCAAGTTTGAGCCAAAGCTCTTCGTCTCAAGATTTTTCTTGCCTTCAAGCATTTTAGAGCACGAAGCTCGCGATTACGATGGTCATAGTCTTAAAAAAATTTGAGCATTTTACATGGGTTTAGAGCAAGTAGACTGAAAGGAGAGAATTTCAATTTTTAGTCTCTTGTTTTGAAGGCACAAAACTTCGGTTTGAACAAAGACTTCCGGAGAAAGGATATGTAAGAAAGAAGAAAGGGCTTTCATAACTATAAAAAATTTTCAAGGAAAGTGGTTCTACTTCGAATAGGTTTGGAAAAATGAGGTAAGAAAAACGTGCATTAATTATGAACCAACCTAATAGTTAAGGCATGCAAAATATCCAGTAGAAGCAAGCACACCGCAACGTACACTAGCATAAAATAGCCAAAGCAGGGAATTGTATAATAAAAAATCTTCTCTCACACATTTTGCGAAATTCAGGTACCTGATGGTAGCACTATGTGTTGAACATACACAGAGTATCCCTCTGTATGTACACATTTTTGATCACTACTATCTCTTACATAGTCGTTTGCCTTCGATACCACTGAGCTGGCTTCAACTCGTATTTGTAGTATGCTGCAATACACCGATCAGTTTTCGCTACTACAGGACCACGGTGAAGTTTCCAAGAGGGTTTTTGGAGTTGAGGGGCATACTTTCTCTCTCTCTCTCAAAAAAAAAAAATTCGAACAGGTTGAAAACTCACACTAACGGAATCGCAGTGGCCTTTCGCTATGGAGATCCAGAGTGCTCGATAAATGCTCCCTACTTCAAATCAGTTGAAGCCAGCTCTACACAATGGTAGATACCTCAAGGCCAGCAGAAAATTTTGTAGGCCGAGAGATATTGGTGTTCATTCTTTTGGTGCATGCTTTTGAGACCCCGTGTATGCAACATGCATCAGCATATTTACTTACATTATGCGGATATTTATCACTCAAATCGCTTGATTAAACTACTTGAAGCCTAGATGACAATTGTTCTGAAGTTTGAGAGAGAATACCAAACATCTTGTGGAATTATCTTTGTATATTGCAGGAATTGAAAAGGATGTGGAATCTTACCTGAAGCGATGGAACTTAGAAAAACTGGCCACATTTTTCTGGTTAAAAGTGAGGGCTGAGATTTGCTGCTCTGCTCTCAAAGTTTGTTCCTGTTTAGGTAACGATAGAAGGCGAGCCCGTTTGTCCATTCAACGGTGATCACAAGTTGCCATATGAAAAGCTGGTGATTGCTTCACGAGCAGAAGCTGCTTTTAATCATCTCCCCATTACCTCAGCTGACGGTAAAGTCTATGCCAGGTAATTTTGTGACGGATGATCTGATCTATGTCTTGCGACGGATTTTGCAATGACATCTATATTTCAGCATTCCGATGGCAGTCCCTTCTCGAAAACCTCCTGTTGTGCCTATACTAAAGCAATATGGTTTCTTCCCTAGTCAGTAAGTATTGCAGTTGTTTATCTGCATCCTCATGGCTTACGTCTCATCATTTGTTTTTCAGGTGCCTTGAGCTTTTTGCTAGAAGTCTGCAACCAAACACCGTATCTGTAGGCTTTGAAACCCTACTGTTACAGTCGTCTTCGTGTTTCATCTCCACTAGCAATTGAGTTTACGCGAGATCTCCACTTACTTATCTACGATTTTTCAAGATGATCATTTTTTTGCCAGATCTTCACTTGTACAAAACCTCACATAAATCGTCTATTGTCTCAATGATGTCCTGCTTAGTGCAAGTCAGCTAGGTCATGCTGAACTTGATTTCTATCAGATGAATGTGTCAAGTCAAACTTTCTGCATGTGTTCTACAAGGGAATGGTCAGGTGGCCAATCCCAGCAGGCCGTATACCGTTAACACACTCCATGGAAGGTTGGTTACATGCATATCTTCGTTATCTGCCAATCACTCGGCCCACACGAAGGATACCGAAGGCGGATATGTAACCAGCCTTCCATGTAGTCTAAACGTATATGGCTTGCTAGGATTGATCACAACGAATTCTGATTGTTAAGCACACTCCACATACTGAAAGAGTATTTTATAAAAATTCAGTTTGGGAAAGGACAGAGGTGATAGCGGGCGCAGTCTTTTGAGTTCATTCCTAACCGGAGTTTCTTTTGTATTGCGATTTTTGATTTAGTAGATCAAAAAGCGAAGGTTTTCTGCAATTGCACACACTTTTATCATTTGATATGGCACCTCATTTGTACCAATGAATTTTGATAAGGACGAGCGCTGAGAATCCGTACGGAGTTCGTGTTTGATACCATGTGCGAGGCAATGAATGTGCATGAAAGACCTCATATTATACATAGTCACATATTGTACATACTCAGATTGAAATTTTCGCAACAATTTTTTTAAACGTTCTTATTTTAAAGTATGAAGACTGCATGGTTAAAGTGAGCCAAGCGCACAAGGAAATTTACAAGGAAGTACGGTTACCATCCAAGTTGAAGGTAATTACTCCAATGGCCGTATTCATCAACGAAACCCAGTGGGTTCCGGAACCCACGGGTTAGTGCTTTTGATGAATATCGATTCTTTCCTGGAGTAGAATCGATATTCATCAAAAGCACTAACCCAGTGGGTTCCGGAACCCACGGGTTTCGTTGATGAATACGGCCACAACAAGATTCCAAAACTTCAGTCCATTGCATACTACATTGAATTATGCCTCTTTCCCGCGGTAACCAGAAAATGAGTAAATTCAACTTATGCCCCGAATTCCTCATGAGCTTCTTCGGGTCAAACTTGATCTGAGCAATTACGCATCCTTGAGGACTATTGTAAGTTTGTGAAGATTGTTTGTAAAAGGTGAATGAAGTCAAAAAATCGACATTTTGTCTTGTCTTGAATCCCGATCTGCAAACTTCCAAATTTTACGCTCAATGAGGTCTGTGAAAAGCTGTACATGTAACAGTCTTTTTTCGAAATTGGTCTTATTCTTGCGTAGTTAGCTTTACTCGATGACTTTTCAGTGGGTAATGAGAGATGTGCGAGCGTAAGTTTCCATACCTCAGCCCCAAGCGAAGCTTTCGAATTGTGTTTGTAAATTTGAGATTTCAAGTTTAGTGTAGAGGATTGCGGATCGTCGCTAGGTAGCTCTAAAAATTCTGTATAATTTTTCTACACGGCGGGTTTATAGTAGTCCATAGATTACTCAGGCTCTATTCTCAATTGGATCAAAAAATCGAGAGTCGTTACACAAAAAATTATTTATTATTGCAGTTTCTTGTCAAATTACAGTTGATAAGCAAAGAAAAGTCACGTGTTCTTAAGCATTAGATCGAACTCTTGGCTACATGTAAGGCAATTTTTTTGTAAAATGACATTGAACTCTTTGTTTTCGGATTTTCGCACTAGATTTGAAGCCTCCCCCAGCAATGTATAGATTACTACTATGTACGATATTTTTGCAAATTTTTAGGTGCTAGCTAGCGTTTTTTCGCAATTTTCTACCACCGAACTCCAAAACACTAATTTAAAAGCTATGACTCGGTGGCTCGTTTATAGAAAGTTACGCTTGAACCCTCCTGGAACGCAAACCTTCTGATATATCTCTGAAACGACAGAAGGAATTTGCTTACCGTTTGAAAATTGGAACGTTCGATTACAGCCCCTTCGTTCCATCAATATACCGCTTAACAAGACCTTAACAGTCGTAATCCCTAATCATCTGCTGACTAACCGCAAAGTTGTTTTGCAAACTTTGGGCGAAATCGTAACATTTGGAGTTTGAGCCATAATATGCGCGTAAGATATTTGCTGAAATCTAAAACATTTACGAGAAAGGGTCAGAAGCCGCTACGTAAGGTATTTGAATTTCGACGTCGTGATTTCTGAAACCACTGATTCGATAACTTTTGCATCAAGCTGTCTTACATTTGTTAAGAGAGAAAAGCTACTGCAGTTCAAAAATGAAGGGATTACTTCTCTTTGTAAAACATCTCGATCCACCGATGAACGAACTCAAACAGGGTTTATGTACACGGTTTGTTGTCTTTGTGTGGAGAAGATTAACTGTCCTTGAACTGGTTCGTTGCGCAGTTGACAGGCAGTTATCGACGCTACTACATCTCTGCTTTGAAAAGGATTTACTGTTAAGGATGTTGCAATTCGTCAAGAAGACAAACAAAGATCTCAAATATGTAGTCTTGACCTAAATCCTGAATCCAATTGGCATCAAACAATTTGCAGGAAAAATTTCCATCTAGATTTCGCACATTTCTTAAAACGGTTTGAAGGTAGATGTGCGGAATAGGCATCATTTGGTAGGTCAATAATTCTTGCACAACTCGGTTTCTGAAAAAGGCTAGAATGTTTGGAAAACCTAAGTTAATTTCTGCTCATCGTACACGAACCTACTCTTTCTGTCCGAGAGAAATTTGTTGTGTCCGGATGTCTCTAACAAGTTATGATTTCCAACTCTTTCAGTACAACATTTTGACTATATCAACCCAGATCTCTGATACGCATATAAAATAGAGCAGTAGATTACCGACTTGTAAAACCATTGTTTTAAATATTTTTTAGACAAATTTCAAGCTTTTTTTTTTGCGAAACTCATGCCAATCAACGATATTCTCACTGACAAGAGTGTGCAAGCTTAAAAAATCCAGTCTTCTTCTTTCTTGGTGGTTCATTACGAATAGTATCAATTCGCAAATCGATTCCTGTAAACAATGTTGCAGAAGACATACCTGGAAGCGGCGGTTTTGATCTGGAGATAACTGAGGTTAGATCTATCTCAATCGCAGAAACCAGTTGTTTTTCGTTTCGACAGCGAAGATACATAGTTAAATGGCGTAGATTTCCATGTTGTTTGTAGCATTTGAGGAGAAATTTGTGAAAGCTAAAAATGATGAGAATGGACAGATATGATACTTCACTTCTTGAGAAGATTGTAAAAATGATAAGAATGAAAGATATACATCAAATTTCCAAAAGAGTTATTCTGCTGTTTACTTGCGGTACTTTTCCTTCCTATATTGGCCTGTTGTTCGCTGCACCCTTTGTTTCGCACTAACCTCGTACGAAGCCGTTCTGCTATCACTCACTAATGAATAAGAACAATTAGGTCACGGCAGTAAATAGATATGATCAGAGGTGCTTCGAAGAGTTCGAAAACACGAGGCGATTTAGCCAGTGCAAGTAAAACAGAATTTTTATGATATGATAATATCAATTACGATGTAAATAAGAAAGCACACCTACAATGTTTGGAGGCCGACCAGGAGAAGTTGCCTGAGTACGTGAAAGAGCAGAACTGAGGGAAGGATATGCTTCGTTGCGACTGTCAGTTAGAATTGTAGTGTTTTAGGTTCTACAAAGTTGAGAGTATTCTTCAAGGAGCAACCACAGGAGGAAAAAAAATTTATTATTTTATCGCATAATCGCAAATGACTATAAATAAATGACATGCTGAACGGAGCAAAATCTTTATTAGAAAGAAGTTGTGGAAAATTCTCCGTAGCTCATGATGAAGCCGAACAGGTCACCTGTAACTCAGAGTGCGTAAATTTCATTATTTTCGGTAAGTTCCTCAGGCATTTTATTCCTGAGCTCTTGCTAAGTGTGACATCTTCCCAAAGGCAACAAAGATGAGCCAGCTGGTGTTATTCATGTGGATTCGAATAATATGGAGCATAGGAGGCAGAAAGATCAAAACATAGAAAAATATACAGCTTCCACTTGGGGTCTGTAACAGAGGTGTCCATTTGTGCAGCAGGGCTGGTTATACTGAAAAATGAAAAAGCAGAGCCATGAGATGCAAAAGTGAAAGTGTGATTTTCCAGCAGTTATGGGAAATCTATGCGTCTAAAGTTGAAAATACTTGTAACAATTTAGGGCAGGGTTATGGTCGCAGAAATATTCCACTCGAATTTTCAGAAATCGAATATCAATTTGACTCAACCTGCTCAGCTGTATATGAACCGAGAATATAAGAAATGGCGCTAAAACGTTTTCCATCTTTTTCTTTCCTTCTACGTAGTCCACGGTACAGTCCCTTTGAGAAAATACAAAAAAAGCTCTCATTGCCTAATCACCAGTTTTCCGATTTGAAACACCTCGATATCACCTTACTACGTTGCCAATTAACGTGATGTAATCAGCGATTCCAACGGCTAAGGCACGGTCACGGCATCTACCGTACCTTGTTCATCGCTACCAGTTCACTGCTAATCGGTCTTTGCTGGAAGAACCGGTTCGACATGCATAGTATAAATGGTGTTCGGCAGATCGTGGATCACACAGCGATGTCAGACGAGAAGTCCAAGCTTGCCGAGGCAGAGGGCCTCAAAAAGCTCGCTTTCTTTGGCATCGCCATCTCCACTGTAGCCACACTTACTGCCATCGTTGCTGTCCCTATGCTTTACAACTATATGCAACATGTGCAGTCTTCCCTTCAAAACGAGGTAATTCTTCATTTGAATTCGCTCATTCACAGCCATTCACTTTTTCTTATCTTATAATCTTTTTACTATTCTAAAATTCTGCATTGTAGGTGGATTTCTGCCGTCATCGCACTGATGGTCTTTGGGATGAATTCCACAGGGTATTTGAACTTTTTTGCTTTTACTTTATCTCCTCATCTTAGTAACACTGTTTAGTTCGAGTCGATGAAGGGAGTTGACAGCCGTATCAAGAGACACACATGGCAGGCACACTTCAAAGTCCCAGCTCGTGCTCGCGCTGCCGGTACTGGCACTTACTCCGAGGGAAGCACCGGAGGCGGCGGCGGCGGTGGCGGCGCATGCTGCTCATGCGGTGTTGGAGCAGCTGGACCCCCTGGTCCTCCTGGAACCGATGGAAATCCTGGAAGAGACGGCAGTCCTGGAAACCCGGGATCAGCTGGAGCCGATGCCTCTGCAGGAGCTGCACCTACCGCTGCTGATTTCTGCTTCGACTGCCCACCAGGACCAGCTGGGCCAGCCGGAAACCCCGGGCCGCCAGGACCAAATGGAGCACCTGGAGCTCCAGGACACAGCCCACAAGCGGGAGGAGTTGGACCACCAGGACCACCCGGACCACCTGGAGCTCCCGGACAAGATGGAACACCAGGAGCTCCAGGAAATCCAGGAGCACCCGGAGGTGTTATCGACGTTCCCGGATCACCCGGACCTGCTGGTATGTCTCACTGGCAATAGAACATTCGATTAATTCACTAACATAACTTTTCAGGACCACCTGGACCAGCTGGACCACCTGGGGCCCCTGGAAGCCCTGGAGCCCCCGGATTCTCACAGCCCGGACCCCCAGGACCCCCAGGAGATCCAGGACCAGATGGAGCCCCTGGAAGCCCCGGAGCAACAGGAAGTGCAGGAGAAGCTGGAGCCAACGGAAGCGGTGGCGGCTGCGACCACTGCCCACCACCAAGAACAGCTCCCGGCTATTAAACTGTGTTCTAGTGTTACAACACTGGAAACGGTGTCAGCAGTACCATTTGCTTGGTTTGCATTACCATCTAGTATATTTCTGGTTCAATCCAGATAATAAATGTTCACTGAACAATTGCACTGTCTTCGTTGTCACAAATTTCCATCGAAACAGACACAACAAAATAAAAACAAAGTGATTCACTATAACACTCAACTAATTAGCAAGATGTATTCGAGAAATGCTTCTTCTGAAAACTGCTGCTTTGTGCGCTTTCGTCAATATCTGCACCTTTCAGTACATCCCATTGAGCATAGTGATAATTCGACCAAGTCGATTTATCAAGCTCGACACAAAGATAGAGGTAAGCTCGATCTACGCAATAGTTAAGATCTGCTATTCGCAGCTTGTTTTCCGCTTCGCAAACTAGTTACTGCTTGCGTGACTGACACCCAAGGAAGTCACGGTTCGTGTCGCTGGAGAGAGATCTGCTCACATTCGCTGTCCCCTGTTGTTGATCACAAACGGAGAACGCATCGCATCATTAGTTCTGCTTAATGGTTGGGTTTCAGCGATGAGATAGATCCTTTCATGTGACCCATCTGAGAAATTCGGAATGTAAGTGAGGCAATGTTACAAAGCTGACTTGACAACGTATGGTCATTACTCGATCGGAAGTTTCAGATCTCTACGTTTTAGACTCAAATGAAAGGTCAAAGTACTCTCCCATCGAAAATCCAACCTTCTTTCCATTGATTGTCAGTTGTCAGTAATAATCCAGAAATAATCGTGTTCTAATGAAGGACCGATAGAAATGATACAAGCATGCCTATGCCAGTCCTAAAGCTCTGAACGTAATGTACCTCGTTCTGAAAGCTCCGTTTCTCGTGTACTCTCATTAACCCAGACGGCTTGGCTTGATAACAATATACAGGGTGTCCCAAAAAAATGTGAACACTGTTTGAGTGTTAATAACTCTCTTGCTTCCATGTCTTTCGCCGAGCTGGAGGCACCACTCTATAGAGCGAGGTTTAACTTAGATCTACAGTATGGAGCGAATCGTCGATAACTCTTCATTACTGTAGGATTACGGTAGGAACTTCGACAAGGATTTTAGACCATTGGAGGCCATATTCTCCTCGGAACAAAACCAAACAAGCCAAAAACTTTTATACTACGGTAATATAAGCCGCTGATTTCGAATATAAAAGTTTCACTTTACTGTGATGCTTCTTCCCAAGGTTATCCCAGGTAAACCGCAATGACTGAATTTCCAGCATTTGTCAGAAGCGTTATTGCACCGTCAAAAAAGCTAAAACAGGGCGAAAATTTTGGAAGCATACCAAATTTCTTCGGAGTGCGTCGACGCCACGCATCTTCATCAAAATTTTTTTGTCTCCCTTCTCCAACAGAAATGCTGGATACGCAGCTGATCTCAAGCTTTAAAAATTATTGATTGGTGTGCGAGTAGTTATTTAGAGTTCAATTTTTATCCATTTTAGAAGTTTTTCAAGACTTCCTGCATTCTTTTTTTTCCTCGTGCCAATGAAAAGAATTTGTCTGTAGTACTTGAAAAGGAACAATCTCCAATAGAATGCTCTCGCTCTTACGTCACTTTAGCCTCGCATCCGTCGAGAATGGATGATTTCGCTCCCTGATTAGCGCTGAACAAGTTCCAAACGTTGCACAAGGCGGGTTGCATCGCAAGTATGTCGTGTGACCGTTGACGAGCTGGGACCGTACTATAGCCATACTATCATCATTTAAATGATTGGTAGTTAGCAAGTGAACCAAGTCGAATAAATAGCAGGAAGATCTCAGCTGAGCTGTTGCCCAAATCCTTATTTTACCAGAAATGAAATTTTAGTCGAGGTGGCCATCTGAATGTGATGTGCATCGCAGAGGTGGGAAGTTTGCTAACTATAAACCTGGCTTCATTATCGGCGGAATGCCTTCCTATGGAGTTCTGTGCTTTGTAGCGAACGTTTACAATTTTCTGTGCACTGGAGCAGTGATTGGAATGGAGTAGTGATTTCAAACAGAACACCCTATACAATGATTATCTCTTCTCTATATCCTAATAGCGCTTTGAGCATGCAGAAGACCGTGTAAACGGTTCTATTTTAGCCTCGTTCGATTTTTATCTATGCAACGCTCATACTCCCTACGAAGGGAATCCTCAAATATGAACGATTAATCAGCACACTATAAGCTATAGTTGACTGCACGAAATCGCCCGGAATGAGCACCCCCGCGCGTGTCTCTTGCGGGTTAACGTTGGCATTCGAGCGCATGAGTCATCATAGCGGCACTCGGCGGTCGCGTTGCAGGCACGCTCGCGCGCCAGCCTACAAGATTCCGAGCGATTTCATGCAGGCGACTTTATCTGCTAAGTAACATCACATTTCATATAGCTGCTTCGGCTGCAAGTAATTCCCGATCAATAATTTTCCATACTGGGTACTTCTTGAAACAAAATCGGATTAGAAGTCGATTTTTCCGAATTTATCTTCTCGGTGGAGTTTGCAATGCACGTACAATTTATCTATACATTCAATGTCATTCCTTCTATAATGATCACATATGAGACTGCTGGAGTTATGAACGGCTTGCATGATCCTAACAGCTCTAAACCCAAATATCAATTGTATCCCGCTGAAGAAGATTCTTCAAGTCAAGTGTGAAACCTCATAGAAGTCAGTTTCTAGGCTTTTTACTTTTTTGATGAAAGCCGACGTATTGTATACATCAGCGGACGCAATACTACTGTTCGAGAACAATGCTGGACTTTGACATCAGCATGAAACAAAGATGTGCTAAGAATACATTTGGAGTGAAAATCAAATCCTCATCGTTCAAAATAATGAAGCAATCACTTTTCTCATCGACCCTGAACCGTAACCTTTTTGAGTGATAACTACTCTACAGGAGGGTCTACGCAGTGCTATCCATAATCTCTCGAAAATAGTATCTATCCTGGATTACGGACAAAGAAAAATCACTCGAGGACGTATTTTAAAGTGCTTACCCACATTCAAGGACATCGAATCGGTGGAAGTTACAGAGGTAGGTAGTCATAAATCAAATACTGTTGCTGTGAACTTTATCTAATCCGGCTCTAGAATGGAGTTGACAGAATCATGCTCTTCGAGAGGTTTACTCTTGCAACCAGGGGTTTCGTGATACTATTACAGGTATGCCGAGAAATTACACAGATGTCCGTGGTAAACCTCCGTCACCCAGTTGAACTGTACTGACCCCGTTAGTTCATAATTATAAAGTTTTGAACTTACCTCCCCCCCCCCCCCCCCTCATGCTTTACAACTGCCCGAAGACTTTGCCGGGTTTTTGATTTAGAACGACGGCGGTTCTACCAGATTACCTCAAAAGTTTCTATGCACTGTCTATCGTTGATAGTTTTCTTGCTTCAACATCTTTCCCCGATTTTAGGTGCTATACTGTAGAATCGACTACACCCAAGATTTCCGGCATGGAGTCAATAGCCGATTTTTCTGCATCTGTATGATGAGGGGTAAAACCTCAGTATATAGCGTCGTTGCGAATCAGCTGTCTTCCCAAGAAAGCGAAAAGTTATGTAGCGGGGTTCTCGCGCACGCCGACTTCACAAACTGACATTACATAAGCTTCGCCGATTTTCAATAATGTAGACATTTTTTGAGAAATCAAAACGTCTGTTATATCGTCTGTCTAACTTACGAGCGAAGCATCAAGAGGTACAAATCAAATTCAAAGTCCGCGACTTTGATTGGTTTTGTCTAAGTATTTTTAGGCTGTTCGATTTCTTATCTGAAGCAAAATTCGGCTGTCAATGACTCTTCACCCATAATTCAATAATGAGAAGCTAACCTTTTTGCACCTTTGTTCTAAGTTGAATCCAGTTATACATATTGATATTCGGAGTCCGGCGAAAAGCACCAGAGCAAGAGATGTGCTATTAATGACCAAACAGTGCATGCATACTTTTGAGAAACCCTGTATACTTTATGTGAAGTGGTCGCGTTTGCTCAGAACGATAAGAAGAAGTGCAGGAAACCGACAACATTAGCCTCAGCTAAGCCTTGTGGAGTTGACAGCAAACGGTATGTAGTACTAAAATTTTCGACATTCTTTGTGAAGCCAAAGATATTCATTCTAAGTTTTTCGTCCTCTCTTGTTGAAACCTCGGCATAATTCAAATGGTGTCAGTATAATGTAGCCAGCACGAGGTTTGGGCGAAGCAATTTATTACATCATTTACCACTGATGTAATAAATTGCTTCGCCCAAACCTCGTGCTGGCTACATTATACTGACACCATTTGATATTCATTCTAATTCAATATTTGGAAGATTCTCTTTTCTTCTTGAATTACGCACAAAGACTACTTAAAGTATATATTTTACATGTAGTTTGCCATTCATTTCAATGTTTCATGATATCATGTTTACTTATATCAAAGTCCACTTATGGGCCTTTTGAACGTATGCACTGGAAGAAGGTGGAGTCGTTTCTTCGCTGGAGTGGACCTCTTCAGACATGAGCTTCTGCATAGCCTGGTGAGGTTTTGCTAGACAATCATTTTATATGGGACCGTGTTATTTAGGGCTTTGGCATGATTCTTCCAGCCACATCCTACCAGAGGGGCCCACACAGTGTGATATATAACTGGACACATCCATGGAGTATGACTTCAAAAAGTCTTGCAAAACGTCAATTCCTTGATTTCTCTGGGAAAGCACTGGTACCGCTGCAGATTACAAAACAGTCGCTTTTCCATTTATCGTTGGTTTAGAGAGAAGCCAGGATGCATTTTGGATGTGACACACTCGCTGGGATTGAAGCCGATACGGCCAATAAAATTCATCTCAACGAGTACATCTATGGGGTAAGCAGATGTGGTTTTGGGCGCAAAAGGTCTATTTAACAGTGTGCATCCATGAACAAAGAATATATTGGGCTTGTTATGCAGTAGTGTAAGAATACGTGAAGTGCATGATCACATGATAAAACACCATAATTGACTTACTGCTTTAAGAACGAGCTAATGACACCAAATCTCTCAAATGTGTCCAATCCGTTCTCTTACATCAGTGCTGCAATCCTAGAGGAAACATATCTCGGAGACAAGTAAAATAGATTCACTTCCTATCATATGACAAAACATCAAAAAGCTGTACATGATTTTATTTCTAGAGTGATTCTAGGCAATGGTACCGTATAAACCGTTTGGCTATTCGCGCTGAACACGATGCACTGTGGTACGGTAAAGGATGGGGTTGCACTTTCGCCGAGCGAAGCTGTTTCGAATTTATTGCAGAGCGTCTCAGGTAGATTGAGAAAAAGTAACGTAATGTTGACACCTATTACAGAACAGGAAGATCAACATTTCCTTTTTGCTCACAGCGGGATTATGAGCAGGATCGGCAAACCAAGGTAATTGAGTAGCGACAGCAAAATTACTAGCTTGATTGATTAAAACTACTTATTATCATGAACCAGCGTGTTCGAAGTTCTTTCGCTTGCCAACCTCTACTATTAGCACCGTAAAAATAATGTGAAACACAATAGCGAGCGTACTTAAACACCCAGACCTCGTCACATGATAGTCTAATCTTGAGCAGCGTCAAGGTGCGCCCACATAGAAAACTGCGGTTTTGCACATATGTTTCTTTGAGCACCGACAGAATCAGAAGATGAAACAATAAACTACTAGTAAGTGAAGTTGAAATCTTTTCGCTTACAGGAAAAGATAGCAGAGAGTAAATTCCTCATAAGAATGTGGCAAGATATTGGCTAAGAATAAATATGTATTGCAGACTCAAATTAATGACTATCTACTTGCCTTAATGCAGAAGCGGCTTTACTCGCTCTAGCATAGACAAAAGGCTCAGAAAAGTGTTAGGGCTGTTAGACATATATGGTTTCGCTTAGGTTATTGAAAGAGTGGTGAAGAAGTCGGCAAGGACAATAACAGAAGGTGGGAAAAGTGAAAAGAAAATACTTGGAAGGACATGTTGCAGAGATGAAATGGAAGGAAAAGTAGAAAGAAAACTGCAGGGCAGCTAATGTCATATCTATCGCATCAAACGGCACAATTCCATATTCACATAGGCATTCTGGAAGAAAAGTCTAGATAATTTAAACTACATAGCAGAGCTAATCAATGTAAGCCGTAGTTGAAAAATCAAGTCTCTTCAGCAGGGTCAAGCGTGGGGTCAGGCGCTTCCACCTTGAGGGATTGCATTGGGGAGAGGATAGGGAGAGGAGGGTCTTGATCAGGATCCGAGTTCGTCTGTTAGAATATTCTACAATTGGACAAGCTGAAGAACAAAAGCAGCAGATTGGTAACTGTCATATTCTCACCAAATTACAAGTTTTTGATTATGGCAAGAGTTAAATACGGTTGTGAACAGCATACTTACAGTCGAGCAGATTTTCTGCTTAATATAGTGTGCTTGCACTGAAGGTGAAGTGCGGTAAAATTTGCGCGTGAACAAATAGCTGCGCCCATGACGCCGGCCATATGCGCGCGTAAAAGGCCGGCATTACAGGCGTCGCTACTTGTTCACGCGCAAATCTCACCTCATTTCACCTTCAATGCAAGCACACCATATTAAACGGAAAATCTACTCGTCTGTAGCATTAATCCCACCACCGAAGCTTTACCATGAGAAATTTAAATTCCTTACCGTATACCTACCTTAAACTATCAAAAACTCCTATCATGTAAAAAAGGCGTGATGTGTCCTAAAATCACTCGCTTGCTATAGTCGAGCAGATTTCCCGCTTAATATAGTGTGCTTGCACAGAAGGTGAAATGCGGTCAAATTTACGCGTGAACAAGTAGTTTCGACTGTGACGCCGGCCAGTTGCGGGCACAAAATGCCGGCGGCGCTGGCGTGGCTACTTCTTCACGCGCCAATCTCATCGCAGTTCACCCTTCTGTGCAAGCATACTTATTAAGGGAAAATACTCGATACCTCATATCTTCTATCATCAAAAAGCTCATTTTCAAACCTGATTGATTTGATTTTGAAGACAAAAGAGCCCGTCCTTTGAAATAACAAGGTAACTAATTTTATTGATTCATCTTTTAATAGGTGGTACAGTGGTGCTTTAAAGATTCCAACCACCGCGTTTTTCACAATGAATCGTTTCATTTTATGAGCCACCACAATGCCAATTTACACACTTAATGTAAAGTACAAGTTCGGGTGGACATAAGACTTAAAGGCAGCGTCCACTCAAAATTTTGCCTCCCATGTTTTTGCCATTTCGGGGCCTTTCCGTGGCCCTGATTACAGTTATGAAGTTCAAATAGTCCAAAACTCCCCAAAAATCCGATTTCTGGAGACCCTGTCTTGAGGACGCGGGCGGCTTTCAGTACATGGGTGGGCGAAGTCTGATAAGATCTGGTCGGGGCCTGATAGCACTTTGGCTGTTCCATGCCCCTTATCCCCATTCAGAGACAACATTAGAGGACCAGACCAACGCAGATGCCCTTCTAGTGAGACTTACATTCAGGATCGACACTAATTGGATGGGGGTTAGATTTAGCTTGGACACTGCCTTTAAGCAAAAAAGCTTTTTTAAAAATAGGATCCAATAGTTGGCACGCTTGGTCTCATCCGAGCCATTATCCACGTTCGGAAGAAAAAAATTCTTTTGTGGAATTGCTACAACGCAGCTTCTTCGTTGCCTTTGTTCGCTCCCTTACCCACCCCCCCCCCCTCTGCGCAAAATGCACTGCGAGCCCTGCTCCCCCTATGCATGACTTACTTCCTCAATCGTTTCGAAATACCATTCCACCGCGAGTTAAAAATAAGTTCTACTGCTGTCAAACAAAAATGGGAAAGCGGGTTGATACAGATTTGGTTCCTTGAAAGCCGAAAAACACGATAAATAATAGAAAGGGAAGACCGCAGCGAAAAAAAGCCTACAATAATATTTGTACATTCACGAATATTACGCTTTACACATGTGTAGATGGGATCAACACTACCCCTCAAAGGGTCAGGTTGCTTGAGCCTTGTAGCTTTGTGCCTGACCCACTTGACTTGCTTTCAAAGTTTGCAACCCACCCCATACCTACTGTAAGTAGCAAGCTTGAAACCTCTTTTTGTTTACGGTAGTAATTTAGTTCCAACCCTCCTTTCTTGAATATTGCTTTCGAGATGATACCTTAAGTAAAATTCACCGTCAGTTACGCCGTTGTACCGTGTAGTATTGCAATAGTAGAAAACTGTGACAGGCTTAAAAACTTTTCCGTCTCATATTGCGAGGTTGTGAAGGTGAGAATGAGGAAGAAGAAGATTTTGTTAGGTTTGCAAAGGGGTAAGGGTCGATTTTAGAGGACGATACACCCTACGCCTTACCCTGCTTTTGAGTCTCCTCTTAAGAACAGGACCACTCTCTGCGCTAGGGATTTGTGCGCGAAACGCAAAATAACTCAAAACTAAGGCCCGTATGCACGTACATCCCCGCGGGGAGGGGATGTGCGTTATACGATTGAAATGATCCCCGCTGGGGATCTCCTCCCCTCCCCGCGCGAACCCTCGTATGCACAAAGACAATATCGGACAAGGGATCCCCTGTGGGGAGGGGAAGTGAACCCCCTTATGCACAAGAGGGGATCAAGCGGGGAAATCACCTTGCTTTCAAATTTTGCATGAAAAACTCTTTCTTATTCCATATTTTAACTGCAACTCATCTTCATCTCCTCACTTTCAATAATTTAGGGTTGCGGAATGCGCGTATGCAGTGACTGCAAAAATGATTTTATCTATTCCCATTATGTTCCTGCTTTCTTGGATGCTGCCCACTTTCGCTCATGGTGTCCCATTTCAGCGTAAGAATGTTGAACTATAGAAGTTGATGAGTCTCTTCGAGAAAATGGGTAGAAGAGGTTATGCTGCCGAAAAAAGGGGGGGGGGTGCCGTGCGGACGCTCAAAGCAGCATTTTAACACGTAACAGAAGCTGCAAATTGTGCCAGCTCTCCATAAACGCTGTAGCTATCAGCTGCATATCGTCCTTCATCCCAGGGGAATGATCCCAGCGACCATCCCTGCTATGCACAAGGGGAACGCTGGGGAGGGGATCACTCCCCCGGGGATCTCTACTCAGAAACACGCGATTCTGCTAATTTTTCATTTTATTCAAAGCATTTTTACGTTAGAATAACAAGATAAAGAAAGTTTACCATATAATGTGATAATTACAATATGTTGTACCAGCCTTTATGGATAAAACAATCATGTCAAGTAGAAAATGCGCAACTCTCGTGAATGGTCTCAAACTTCTACAGATATTCGAAACTGGCAGATATATGTCCGGGTTTTTTTACAAGAAGCGAATATGGAAGAGAGAGTTAAAACTGCAAGCTACAGGTCGCTGAGAGAGGAATCCGGCTCCCGCAGAAAATCTTTCATCAATTTGAACGAGATGCTTTGTAATAGATGATTTAAATTAGCATACTCGCTTCTCTGGCTTGACCTACACCATCGAACCCCTACTCCGTTGTAGGGGATGTCGATCCCCTCCCCCGCGTTGCTGAGTTACACTCGTGCATACGGGGAGAGTGGGGAGGGGAAAGGGATCCCCTCCCCACGCGAACCCCGTATGCACTGGGGTTCGCTCGATCAATACCTCTGAAACTATTCAAATCATCCCCGCTTAGGTGCAGGGGAGGGGATCGCTCCCCTCCCCTCTGTCATGGCGGGGGTCGGCGGAGGGGATCGTTCCCCTGGAAAACCAGCTCCCCTCCCCTCCCCAGCGGGGACGTACGTGCATACGGGCCTAAGAGAAAGGGGCATAGTGTCAGCCACGCCCTCGAGACTTTTTTGCAAGGCTGATTTGAATATTTGAAAAATTGTGGAAATTGTTACATTATAAACAAGACACTAGCACATTTTTACAACTTATGCAAGAAGATTTTGAGATTTGGGGGCCTCCCTGCCTTTCCCCTTGATCCGCCACTTATCAAATCTGTTGTCAACAAAAATTAAAAGCATATGCACACATAAAGCTAGTGCAAAAGAATGTCAAACACAAACGCATACTTGATTGATAATTCACTTCTCTACTATTTATTTGAAGCCTAACGATCTTACTCAACAGCTTCAAATAAGCTAGATGTTCGAAACAGAGGTATGTATAAGAGAGGCAACCTTGTAAAGATTACGTCATTTTTGAATAGAACAAGTCGGTAGTTATTGTCAGCTGAAGAAGTTTATTGTGTCATACTCCATATGATTCTATTATGCTACAGTTTTATCTACTTTTTCAAAAATTCTAGCTTGATCCTCACTTTCCTCAAATAGTCCTTCATCTAAATTTCTCATTACCTAGTATAGTCCTGATGAACTGCGCATTGAACTTACCAAAAAATCGAAATATCCTCAATTACATATTACATCGAACAGTTCCAGAAAACTTGGGAGTGACTGCAGCTCACTCATCCAACAGTACAATTTTTCCAGTATAAGGTGAAGCTTTCGTCTGGTCAAGTGAAGTCATACAAGGAAAGTTGTTGGTTAGCAGATGTACGCAGGGACATCGCTGATAACGGACTATTGGTGAGTTTAGGAACTCTCATGAAATTGAGTGATAGACACAACACAATCCTTCATCAGTTTGATAGTGCATTGAACATGTTGCTCTCATGTTCTGGCTGTTAGAGAAGTTGACACTTTCCTAAATTTTCCTTGACTACAAAATTTCCTACTAACTATGTTCCAAAGATTCGCAAATGCGATAGAAAACTTTCATTTCTTTTGAGTAAATATTCAAAAAAATCCAATTGTTCCGGATAGAGCAAGGGGCAGAATTAGCTTCTCTCTTCATACATTGTTGTTTTGACGTATTTGATAGAGACTGACGCTCTTTTGGCACATGCGCTGGTCTACTAATGGTGACAGCGTTTCTCAAAGTTCCCATTGCTCTGCCTCGTTCCTGTTCCCGCTGACCTGGTCCATTGCGCAGGTCAAATTATTTATCAGACGTAAATTGAGCAGCGTACGGAAGAGTTCTATAGTTGCATTATACATCTTGTTATCTCCTTGTTACGTCACCTGATAACTTCTCTATAAATTTGAGAAAGTAAAGTTTATTTTTCTGATTCAGCAGACGACCTGACAGAACAGACGAGACGAATTAAAACGATCATACTCTTGCAAAGCATCTTTTGATGGAAAGCATGCAGAATCGTTTTTGTCTGGAATCCATTATCTAATCACTCGGACTCAAAGCTTGGCAAACTCGCAAAACTTTTCATATCTAATCATCTTCAGCTTTCTCCTGCTTCTAAGCGCTTTGTCTATCCTACACTTTACGGTACTCCATTCACGATTAAAAAACCTGCTGCGATATCAAGAAAAAAGGAATGGTCATTGTTACTAACATATTACAGCTGAAATTGAAGAAAGAAGAGCTTGAGAGTTTCAAAATTGAGTCTCTACTGCAGATGGCGTCCTTGCTGAGGGGGCTCCAAAATCTCTTCTATGTCGAACCTGAAAAAAAGTTGAATTATAGAGATGAAAGGATGAATAATTTAGCTTTACCTGACATAACCAGCTTACTGTACGCCCACTGATTGATTGCTCACGTAGTACGTTACCCCCCGTCATAGTGGACGAGGTCTGAACAAGCGGAAAATGTTATATTGAAAATGTGGTATGTAGTGGACTTGTACGTATGACAAAATATAAAAGTGCCATATCACTCAGAAACGCAGATCTACTAATCTCATCACTTCGATGGTCTTTTTTTGCAGCGTATATACAGCTTCAGAGTCTAAAAAAGAATTTTCATCGAAAACAGTTCAACAGTTTGGGGGTTAAGTGAAAACAGAAACAAATTTTCTCATTAACATTGCACCAATAATGAAACATAAATGAAACAAAAGGGCTATTCAAAAAAAGAGCACCATGGAAACAAGGAAGTCAGAGAAATGAGAGCCGTGCTCAACGTGTGCAAAGACGCCCCAATCCAAACCAAATATTCGAAGAATCTAAACGAGAAACTCGGACAGTGCGTGGGAGCTGGTTGCGCCTGTTCTCGATTATTTGTCACCTTCCGGACGTTCCCCCTTGCCGTAAAGTCGGACGCATCGTTTCAGCTTTCGTTACCAATGAGCTTGTTTTTTCGATGTAACTTGTACACTTCTAATGGATTTGAATGGATAAAAGTATAGCGATATAAAACTGAAATTTTACCATTACACAAAATTAACCCCGTGCTATGTTACGATATGACCAATATCTCCACTGCAGCCTCATGATCTCTCGCTCTGAAAACTGTCTCATATTAACATCGTTTCCGATTCCAGGCATACACTTTGTCCGAAAAATCGTACTCTTCTCTTAACCACCGTATTGGCTCCACCGCTGCTTTCAGATTTTGCCCAGTAGCATCGGTAACACTGTCTGGTATCATACGCTAGTCAAAGTTTTCTTGCATGATTTAGGGCGTTGTGATGGATCGCTTCAACCTACCTAAAGGAGTCTGTTTAGTTTAGGAGATACCAGTCAGTGCTTGAGTAATGCGTCACTTTTTGTACTTTTTTCCTTGAGTTTGTGTTCCTTGTTTTTTCTTCAGCATACCTATCGAGAACTCATCGTTGCAATTAGTATAGCTATGAATTAATGAAGATTACATCCTCCGTTGTGGCTGCTATCATCGACCGATCGATGATTCCTGATGCGCGTGCCATATGACGTCATAGCCGAATGGGCGGGCCATGTCTGCTATGAGTCTACGTGGGAGGTCTCGCCTCACCCTTGATCACACGTTGACCAGCCAAGCTCACGCTCTCACACTCTCGGTTACGTAATCCAATACACTGAACCACCAGTCTTGTTGCTTATTCCACAAAATTACATTGCATTCCGAGGCAAACATCCCTCGAAGAGTCTACACCCGCTAATAGTTGCGACTTCGGAAAATTTCATTGGAAAATTAACAAAGGAGTGCAACAGTGAAACAATAATCCGGAAACAACTACATGGCGATTCACAGCACGCAAAGACTGCGGACTTCTCGGCGTCTCTCTCATCAAGCGCTTTTCGTTTTCCTTACCATCTGCTGTAGCTCCCACGCACGGCTCTCTTGGTCGGAAGGAATGGCGCCCGGGAATCGCGTGTTGTAAGTCGCTGATACATGACAGAAGTCATGTGAGCTGGTTGTAATGATACGCGCAGTAGTAGAATTACAAACGAGTACAAAAAACAGTCAGAACATATATTAGTTTACTAGGTGGCATACTCTAATTTGCTTAGCATTGCTGAAATACTTCGATCGATTCCCCATGTTAACCCTTTTACTTCGCTAGCCAGCCAAAAATAGTAATTCAGTAAACCTAGCAGGTTCGCTTACCCTGTGTATCAATTTTTAGCCTTCCCTTCAAAGGCTAAAGATCGATAAGGTTGCTAAAATTGACTGATTAATAATGAATATCGTTTCGTAATCATGCTCACTTCCTGCACCAACTCCCAGCCCCAGCTCAAAGTTTGCAAAAATTGTTGATATGATTGTATTTATTATGTTCACTTACCCTTCAATAAATCGGTATCGTTCGAGAATTCAGAGTTTGGCAGGCGTCTCGTCCCTAATATGTGGACGGTTCACAAACGGAATTTCTTTCAAGGTTAAGGCACAGCCAAGATGCATACTACTAACAAGGGAAGGAAGGTTGGTCGAAGTGGCTTTTTGAAATGAGGTGTATACCGCCTTGTAGAGCTTAGAACGCTGATTCCAAATCTACCTTCGCTATCTGCTGCGGGCTTCTGGGCGAGGAGTTATGAAGGTTTTTGTGAGTAAAAATCTGAATGCAAAAATAGGGTAAAATCAGTCGTAACCTTTTCCCAATGTTCAAATGAGGCAGCAGCGAACTGGTATATTTGTATCAAGAATATTTGTTGCACCGAGTGACCCAACTATCAATTAAGCCCTATAAAAAATGTTACGACTAATTTTAGCCTACTCTTAAATTCAGATTTTTACTCACAAAAACCTTCATAACTCCTCGCCCAAATGCCCGCAGCAGATAGCAAAGGTAGATTTGGAATCAGCTTCCAAGCTCTACAAGGCCGTGTACATCTCATTTCAAAAGGCCACTTCGACCCACCTTCCTTTCCTTGTAAGTGTTTCGATTGCAACCTAACCCTGTCATGTTCAAACTCCTCAGGGAGCGTTCTTTGAACTGAGATGCCTTTATAGTAGCAGGTCCATTACAACTTTCACGGGGAATTCTAGATGGAACACAGATGCTTTACTTCTAGGGACTGTTTCAGCATAGTAATCTGAGAAGAATGGTTATGCCTGGATACTGCTCCAACCAGAGAGACCCCGCCACCATTCCCAATGACGCACTGCTCTGCGTGCGATGAATGAAAATGGTGTTCAAACAGACATCGTGTTTTATATTAAGAAAGACAGGATGGTCAAAGTGCCACGTTATGGTCAAACTCCAACAGAACACGACCGGATAGGGGGTGCAAGCTTACGCACGGTTTATCTTCGTATTCTACCGTTAATGATTCAAGGCTAGCGCAGGAAGGCGGATATAGTCGGGCGTGAACGATGGCATGGCGATCGACCTACAAAATAGGGGCAGATGAAGGCACGCTTCACTCAACTGAAGCTAGTCGGATTTTGATGCAATACAGTAGAGCGAAATCCCAGCTGAGTGGTTACCAGAGTCCGCCGCAAAGAGTGCATTTAAAAGCGAATGGTTCTAGAAGATGGATGCTACTGAAGTTGCCGCAACCCATTAACGTAGATGCCTAAAAGTAATGAGCCGGGAAATGGACATTAGAATACCTGAATGTCGGAAATGTGTTTTTTCTTCATTAATGAAGGGTGGATTCTCGACATTTCTAAGTGTTACTTAATATAGTATTGGTTCATTATCTTCGGAATACTTAAGTTGGAGCGTGGTGGCAGCAGCACCTTCTAGAACAATTTCCTTGCCTTGAATACACCTATCGCAGAGAGGCCTTGTTATTGTACGAGATTCACCAATCTCGGGAGTGAACGGTGCGTATAACAGCTCATGCGCGGCATTCAATGCGCTGTCATGTGGGCATTCGCCTTCTACCAAGAGTAGACTTTGACCATGTTTATCGAGTATATTCCAAGGGTATACAATGCTGACACACAATCAGTAGGCGTTTCTAGGACTAACAAGGGAAATGTTTCCAGTCGAAGTGGTTTTTTCATATGAATTCCAACCCACCTTGTGAAGCATAAACTCTTATTCCAAATTTGTCTTCTTTATCTGCTGCGCACTTCCGTACGCAAAGTTATGAGCATTCCTGAAGCAAATAATGAACGCAAAACCTAGATAGAAGAAAAAGTCCGCCACTACACAAATGGTGCAATATTGAATAAGAGTTCATCAGACAAAAGATATTCAATGTATTAGACTGGCTGATAATTTCTGTTACACTTTACTTTTATTTCTCGAAAATCTAAAAAAACTTTTAAAGATTCCTATATCCAAGGAATGTTGACGGGGCGCAAAGGTTCAATACCGGTACTGTCAGATCCGTGGTCCATGCGCAAAACATTCACTTCATCCGTGGGAGTATGTTTTATGGAATTTTTGTCAACAGACTGGCATTATTCCATGTGATTGGGAAGAACCCGGACATGTGGTAGTCGGCTGGGGCATGGTCCATGGTTTCTAACGAATATAGGGGCATCACACAATCATCTCCGTAGACGTTCACATGAGCTACATGGTGCCAAGGCACATTCGCATTTCAGTATGAAAGACAATTTTTGAAGATTTAAAAAATTATTTACAACCTTTCCATACACGATGCACACAAAAACAAGAAATTTCGACAAATTTTCAATTTTTTTGATTTATTCTTACCCCTCGTGCTCAAGCGTGCTTACAAAGTTGTCGTATACTTGCTAGCTATTTGTGCATTTGCGGCATTAGTCATGCCGTTGTGTGCACCCTGTTGTGCCTATGGTGGTCAGAATTCTTCAGAGAGCTTTCGTAATTTTTCAGAATTTCACAAAAAAGTGTAACAGAAATTATTCGCAACCCAATATAAACTGTCTTGTTACTCCAATGCTGCCCGCGACAATTCTGTATGATTTTGTGCCAATTGCGCTTTCGATTTTTCGCTCAAAAAACGCTCACAACGCGCCCGATATACCAGAGACAGATTTCAATCAGCGTTCAGTGCTCTCATATATGGGATATATATAAAGAAAGCCACTTTGATGGAAACACTTTGTTACTGTAAAAATGGCTTTCCTTGAGAGGAAAAAATCAAATCGAATTTGAATATAAATGTGTGAGACATGCAGAGATAGATGTGCTATTCTGACCCGGAGGCCTCTATCATAGGATATAGCGTTTTGCGGAATGTTCTCACCACTGTACTGCAGAATCTGTAAGCATCTAAATTTTTGCATATTAGGGTTTTGAGAGAAAAAACCTCGCTCGAGTTTCCAGCACAGCAAACTGATTGATTTTGATTGGATGAACCATGACTCTTTCAGAATCGTAGAACTCATACCAGCGATGGCGGTCGGGATAGCGAAGATAGATGAAACGACTTGGATCAAGCCTATAGAGAGCCTGTCATACACTTCCTACTTACCGTAATTCTTCACTTACCTTTTATGGGGAACAGACTGCAATATCTTCATCATTGCGTTCTCGACAAACAGGCCAGCTTCGAAAAAAATTTCAATGACCTCTGCCATGTAAGTCAGTCGCTTATTTGGGACGTAAAAACTAACAATGATCAGCTGCTATAGGTAACTAACGCGCAAATTTTGTTCAAACTCACAAATCACTTATCGTTGTGCCAGTCTCACTAGCAATGTGGACAAGCGCATCTACTTCATAACCATTGTCAGCCAACTGAGAAGAAATCCATTAGATGGCAAGAAACCCACATTTGATTTGAAACATGCGTACGCTTTAAGATCCATTGACAGCGTATAAATAATTTTTATCAATTTAATATTATGCTTCCAACTACTAGAAATAGACGACTATAGTCTTCTTGCTTTTTGCCTTCGAGTATCAAAAATATGTAGTGTCTACGTTGCCTCAAGGGCACCGTCTACTCGAATTCTCGACCTCCATATTTTTGTCGCTCTCCCCCCCCCCCCTCAAAATCTCGTTTTGGAGAATCCGCTGCAACAAGCGCAGGCGAGAGAAAGCCAGCAAAGTGGGAGGGCAGCTAGCTGGGTGGAGTGATCAGCTCCATATTTGTTCCTCCTTAGCGGATTCGCTCCGTAAGCAGTCTTTTGCTGCGCAACTTGGGGGTTTGCCTAGTGTGGGAGCCTACACTAGTATGCCATCATAATCTCTCAATCTCACTTTAGGTAGACGGTGCCTTCAAACCACAGAACTGAGTTGCGAAGGTTGCAGATACTCTGGAAAGTTAATAGGTTGAGTAAAAAATTTCCGGCGTTTACGGTCTAAAGAAAGGTCATAGATTATTTTTTGTACAAATGTATGGTATCTACCATTGGAAAGAGTAAATCAAGGTTGCTCAAAAATTATTTTTTTGATAACCAAATAATGTAGGAGCAAAAGGCCGAACTTTCCAAATTTCCGTAAATCTAAAAAAAACAAATCGAAGGGGGGGGGGAAGTTTCCAACCATTTGCATGGCCACACATGGTCAAATTCGAACGATTTGAAATACCTAAAACACCTTACGTGCAAACGGCTAAAAAATTTCACGTTATTGGCTATAGAACTTCCCTAATAGCAGGCCACGATCTTGATTGTGATTGGCCATGTAGCCAATATCCAGCAATTAAAGTACTCATCTGTGCACTTACTACAGCTTAAGAACGAAACTTGGAAATTCAAACTAATGATTTTAAGTTCAGCTATACTATAAGGTCATAACCGTTTTTGTCACGATAGAAAATTCTATGTAATGAGTATTTAATAACAGAGGGAAGTTACCAATTCACAAAAATCATAGTAAATAACAGTCACATGAGTTGTTATAGAGCCTCATAGTTGCATGCATGTCAAAATGAAATTATTTATTAGGCAACCTAATAACATACAAGGTGTCCCAAAAGAATGTATGCACTGTTTGATCGCTGATATTTCTTTTCCCAAAAAGTCTTTTGCTTACCGCTAAGCACCAGTTTTTAGAGCTGGCTTCAACTTAGATTTACAGCTTGGAGCGAATCACGGATCGTTCTTCACTACTGTAAGATTACGGTAGGGACTTTTAGCTTACAGCGTCATTACGAATTTACCGTGTTTCAAAAAAATTTCCAAAAAATCTGGAAAGTGATGTACTAGGTTTTTCAAGCTCGCTGATTTTATTAGTCAACTTTTTAAGAGTTTGCAAAGCTTTCAAAATAGTGTAATCACAATTTTATGGAGTCTTGTAAAAACAGATTGCGGTCTACCTGGCATAGCTTACGAAGGAAGCATTGCGGTAAAGTGCAAACAGTATATCTGGTTTTAGCGGCTTCAGTTGGCCTAGCATGAAAGTCCTCTGGTTGTTCGGCTTGCTTCCTGAGGCGAAATAGAGTCCTTCATGGCTCACAACCCTTCTTGAATTTTCTACCATAATCCTACAGCAATGAAGAGCGACCGGTGATTCGCTCCATACTGTAAATCTATGTTAAACCTCGCTCTACAAAATAGTGCTTAAAGGTAAGCAAAAGACTTCTTGGGGAAAGGGATATCGACGATCAAATAGTATATACCCTAAAATCCCGCCAATAAGTCCGAACTTATCTGCATTTTTTGACGCGAAAAATTGATAAAAAATCGCCCTCTGCGCTGCCAGAAGTCTAGCAGATGAATCCTTCCATCAGACCGCAGTAGATCTGCTAGACTTCTGGCGATTTTTTATCAATTTTTCGTGTCAAAAAATGCAGATAAGTCCGGACTTATGGCGGGATTTTAGGGTACATACTTTTGGACACCCTGTATATATAGTGTCCCAAAAAAAATGTGCTCACTGTTTGATCGCTAATAACACTCTTGCTTTCATGTCTTTTGCCGAGCTTGAGATATCATTATGTAAAGTGAGGTTTAGTTTAGATTTGCAGTATGGAGCAAATCATCAATCCTCTTCATTACTGGAGGGTTACGGTATGAACTTTCAGCATACAGCGTCACTGTGGAATAGGCCTTTTGATGAACTATTCTCAAAAAAATGTGAGGATTTGTGCAGCAAGATTTTCAGGCGTGCTGATTTCACTACATAACTTTTCACCAGTTCTTTGAACTTTCTTGAAGGCATACATTGACGAGATAGGAAAAACAGTTGTTATCCTAAATCTGAAATAACTTATGAAAGAAGCACTATACTGAAGTGCAAGCTTCATGCCCACAATCACCGACTTCAATTGGCCCACTTCAGCAATTTTAGGCTTGTTTGGCTTTATTTCTGGGGTAAAACACCGCAATCAATGGCTTTAAATCCTCTCTGAAGTTTTTACCGTAATCTTGAAGTAAGGAAAAGCTGTCGATGATTCGCTCCACACTGCAAATCTAAGTCGAACCTCGCTCTACAAAATGGTACTCAAGCTCGCCAAAAGATAGGAGAGTTGTTAACGATCAAACAGTGTGCACATATTTTGAGACACTCTGCATGTAAGTGGAAAAGGATTAAGGGTTTGACCATGCATCGCAAATCATCGCAAATTTGTTTTGCATCGATACAATAACCTTGTTATGTTTTGCCTTCTGCAGAAGATGCTATATAAGGAAAAGAACGTAATCACTTTCGCTAACTATTACTTCACAAGCAGACAGTGTGTGGGTACTGACGGTGTTTTCATACAGTTTTTCAAACATTAGTATAGGTGTACAAGCGGCTTACCCCCTTTTGATAACAAGCTAGAACCTTTCCAATATTCCTATCCCTTTGTGACCTTTCTTCGAAGATACGTGATGCACGCACTGCTGCCCTCCATCCCAAAAATCATCACAAATCACGAGGACACTATTGTGCTGGGGTCTGTTAGAAAACTAACCATAGCTTGTTGGCCACCATCCATTCCTGAGAACTGCAAAGGGGAAAAGAATTTCGCTCAAATCAAGCTTGTGCCAAAAGTTGAAGATGGCATCATCTGCGGCAAAGAAATAACCTAAAAGATGATGAATGCTTTAAGCCGACGAAAAAGTAACCAAACCTTCAACATTTCGCAAATTTAGCTCCTCAACTTTTGAGAGACAGTAATGAAAGAAACGCCCATTTGCCATCTCTACTTGAGATACGTGGATATAATTGAATGGAGACATAATTTTTGGAAACTCTCCTGCAACATACATTTATTTTCCATTTTTTTGCGTATAAAAAATATTCGTTGAAAAATTGAGACGACATAAAATCATGCTACTGTAACTTTTGTGTGTCGTAGAGCACATGATTAGGGAACAGATGCACATTTACGTCTCAAAATCGTTAGTAAACCTTCGTCCATATATTCCAGAAGATTGTGGCTTCCACAGAAAATTGTCATGCCAAAATACGGTTGATATAATCTTTGCAAAAGACCGATGCCTTTTTTCCGCTGATGGTTGTCGATGATTACGAGCACCTAAAGCAAAGGTATTGCATTGTATTGTAATCAACTTTCAATCAGATTTTCTTGTAGAGAATCAACTTTCAATCAGATTTTCTTGTTTTTGCTACATAGAACGAAAGAAGGCAAACCAAAAACCGTGAGTCAAGGGTGACTTTGATTGTTGACTCGCACAAAATAGTCTGCATGACATTTTTAGTGATCAGAATTTCAATGGAAATTAGTTTGTTGTCTGTTTATGTTAGTGCACTATGTCTGCACAAAAATTTGATGATTGTATTGAAGCACAGTGATCGAAGTGATACTAAGAATTAGATCATTGAACTTCCTTAAACTGATTCAGAGCATCGCAATATCTGCATAATGCAAAAGTTAATAATTGTAATGTACAGTAATAGTAAGTGCTGTTGACTACTGTTTAGCACTTACAGATGAGTATTGTAAGGTATTGTGAAGTCCTTATATGTCAAATTTTAGAGTACCCAGAAATGATATATCCATGAAAATAAAGAAGTTTCTTCGATTTCCAATCATGGCCTTACGTCTTAACGCCTTTTAGTTTTCCTCTGAGGCTCTATATGAACACCGTTATCTGACGTTCCGAATGTGATGGTCCTGGCGAATGGTAGATTCATGATGGCGCGAAAAGTCTGTAGTCTTATAATAACGGGCTAACGGGCTAAGGGTGTTTATGTGTGTGTGTGTGTGTGTGTGTGTGTGTGTGTGTGTGTGTGTGTGTGTGTGTGTGTGTGTGTGTGTGTGTGTGTGTGTGTGTGTGTGTGTGTGTGTGTGTGTGTGTGTGTGTGTGTGTGTGTGTGTGTGTGTGTGTGTGTGTGTGTGTGTGTGTGTGTGTGTGTGTGTGTGTGTGTGTGTGTGTGTGTGTGTGTGTGTGTGTGTGTGTGTGTGTGTGTGTGTGTGTGTGTGTGTGTGTGTGTGTGTGTGTGTGTGTGTGTGTGTGTGTGTGTGTGTGTGTGTGTGTGTGTGTGTGTGTGTGTGTGTGTAACGAAATTTACAGAAAGAGCGCAGGCAAGATTTCAAGCCGCAATTTTTTGCACAACACACACTGTCACCATCCAGATTTGCCATACAAAGCACAAGCAGTCCATGGATCGCTCAGAAACTGCGCGTCAAAAGGACACACTTAGCGTCTGGCGTGCATTATTGGGTTCGTATTACCGTTTATTGCAATGTCATAATTATGTTTGGCAAGTGAATTGCGAGCTATGATCTTTAGCTCAAAAAGGTGGTCAGAAGTCTATCACTTCATGAAAACGGCGCCAAAAGAAATTGACTGTGTTAATGGTGACTTTGCTCAGGTTTTTTTCCAAAGCATTTGAGGAGTTTTTTGCGCAGAGATGTAGCTCACAGTGATTGCTTTCCCTATGGCGACTACCAGGCCGTAAAAAGTTCAAGATCAATTTAAATTTGCATCTTCCGCGAAACGTTCCATCCATGTGAAATTACCGACTCAACATGAAATAGCTTTCAAAATGAGTAGTCGTTTACAAATTATTTGTGACCAGCGCATCACCTAGACTTCGCACTGGCTCTACTTTCTATATGTGCCTAACTCATTCCCGCATAGTAATGACAATGAAACTCACCGCGCCATGCAGGCTATCACGAATGATTTGTAAACAACTATTCATTTCTAGAGCTTCTTTAGTGAGATTGGTATATATCTTCGCGTGGATGAAACTTTTTCGAGAAAAATTAATGCGAATTTGAATCGATTTTTGGACTTTTCTGGCCTGGTAGTCGCCATAACGACAATTATCACCGTGGGCTACATCTCTGGCAAAAATCTTTTCAAATGATCAGGTAAAATCTTGGCAAATTGAACATTTATCCAACTTATGGTTTTTGACGCCATTCTCGTAAGTCAACTTTAGTTCGATTTTTTGGATTAATATCCATGGCTTGCACATTAGCTTGTCAAACATATCCATGACTTCGCGAAAAGTGTTGATACCGGCCCAGTTTTGCTGGCTAATAGCTAAGTGGATCCGTTTGACGCGCAATTTTTAAGGATCCACTCGGCGGATCCGCACGTGCTTTTGCATACAGGACTTTCATGCTGTTAGCCTGCGCCGTTCAAAATTTGGGCTCAGGGCGTTGGCTGCAACACGCTCCTCGAATTTCCTAACGGACAGACAGACACACACACAAAAAAACGTAAACATCCTTAGCCCATTATTATGAGTTATGATAATGAGCATTGTGCGGTAAGTTTCAGTGCCATCTTAATGTGAGAATGAGTAAGACATATATTAGGCTGGAAACTAAGTTTTGCAACTGGTTTCATAACTTCACTCTCTTTGGATATAGCGCATTCAAACTTTGGCATTATGTAGAAGGCAATGTGAGCTACAAGTGAGCACAAATTGTCCAAATTCTGAACACGAAATAGAAAAGTTTCAAGCGTTTTTCGAAAACTAGTAAAATCTGAGAATTTTTGGGGTTTCAAGCCAAAATGAAGCCTTTGGCAGCCTAGACTATGCGCAGTAATCCGGATTCGTCTACAAATTATTGCTGGGGGTTGACTCCTTTGGCCTAGTAAGAAAGAAACAAAATTTAGGAGCATGTCGAGGTTTGGCGTCCTCATAAACTCGAACGAGTCGATGTACGCAAAAGCTGCTGGGGACGACCGTCAATGAATAAAGAGTCCGAAGCTCAAATTCTACCGAGACTTTACATATTGAGGTTATTTGGCCTGCTAAACACGAATATCATATTCTTTTGTCGAATCAATGCCTCTTTGCTTGTTTAGGGTAAGACCCCATATCGTATACTTATCACGCAAGTTCACTATCGTTTTCGTGATCAGCATGTCGGATAACACCCCTATGCCAAGTTTCAACCAAATCCGTCAAACTTCGAATTTTTCCCCCTTTATACAATGCACCTACCGTAACCCTCACTGCGACGTCAGAATTTGGTAGGACAGCAGCTGCCTCGTAGCTTACGTAATAACCAACGCAGTGGCAAAATTTGAGTGCGTCATGTTGAGTGAGAGGGAAGTTATGAGACCAGTTGCAAAACTTAGTTTCCAACCTAATAAATAGTAAAAGTAGTGTGAGCCTCTGCGAAGCAGAGATGACGCACTGGTTCTTTAAACCACACAAACTCTTGGAAGTATAGGTCTCTGCTCAATCGTAATGGTATTCGAACTGCCATTGTTTACGCAACAGATCACAAGAACTTCCCCAGCTTTCTTTCACTTGTCAAACGCTTTTTTGCTGTCAGATGTTAGCTTTCATCCACTTTGAAAAGAATTGAGAAATGCGTGGCGATCTAGAACGTTTAAGTAGTTTTCAAAACCTCGTGTAGTCCTAGAGCTTTGATCCTGTCTGATCCTTGATTCGCAGCCGTAGCGAATCAAGGATCAGACAAAGCTCTATACCCTGTGTTCATACTTATCTATGCATACTTTCCAAAACATATCAGATTCAACATGAGTTTATAAAAAGAGGCACGCACAATGCAGCATACTCATGCATTTACAGCTTATATGTCTACCAGTGCTTCACCTCTGCTTCGCAGAGGCTCGCACTGGCCACCAAGAAACGATGATAAACTTACGATGTGAAGGCTTTCTTTTAGATTATTGCCAGGTTCACTGCGGTGAGATAGTTCCTAATTAAAAGTGAACCATACTCGCTATCAGAACCTCACATGCTGCAGTGTATTGTAAATCATTCCTCACTGTATTTTCGTAACAGACAGACTTACAGACCGACAAATAAGCGGCTTATTATAAGTCATGATCTTGCGATAAGTTTTTGTTAAGCGAAAGATAAGCTCTTAGCGCCAGTTCAACCCACTTGTAGGTTGGTTTGACCTGAGAGTTAAAGTGATTATCATGTTGCGAGTTAAAGTGATTATCATGTTGCAAATGCAACCTTTGGTGGTCCTTGTGTAGAGCTTGCTTCAACGGAACACTGGCATGTATGCAATCTCTTGCTCTCATCACTAAGGCTGCTAAAAAGTGGCCTATTTGCACCCTTCTGAGTAATATCTACGATTAGTGCGCCATACGGTGCTTTGCCGAATTTTTGCACTAAGCTGACTCGCTCGACTGTACTCCATTACAGAATTATGGTAAGCAGACAGTTGAGTTGACTGCATCTCTCAAATTCGTCTGCAGTTTGCATTTTTTTCGTTGCCTGAAACACCTTTATCTTCGCACTTTTGCCGTGAGCGGCGTACTCGTTCTCCCTATCCTTTCACAATAAACATGCCAAGTTTTTTTTTCTTGAAGTATTTGTGAGAATAGGATAAGCAGACGAAGCGTAGTCTTGCATTTTCTGTTAAATATCACTTCGTCTCTTCTCTTAGGAAGCCCGCATATGCCTTCACACTTTCAAAAAGAAAAACTCTACCGTACCTTTCTACAAGACACGTGTATGTTAAAGGCACCGTCCACCCAGATTCTCGTCTTGCAGGTTTTTGTCGTTTCAGAGCCTTCTCATGCCCATGGTTCCGAATATGAAGTCTAGAATCCGCGAAAACCCCGAACAATACCCGTTCCGAAGAACTCACAGGTCAGTTTCGGAACGGTGATTTGATGGGCGCGCACAAATGGGCTGCCATGGTTGGGGGAGGGCGGGCATGGATAGGGGTCCTCGTGCATCTTCGTTATTCCGGAGCGATCTTCTCGCTTCCGAAGCGACATTTGCACTGAGACTTGGGCATTGGCTTGATTGGAGGCCCTACTATAATATGCTGCCAAACGCTCAAGACCTTTAACTTAGGGTGGACGGTGCCTTTAACCTTGGTGTAATTACTCTTTGATCGAGCAGCGCGACCCACTACATCGAAACGTTTATCGAAAATAAAAACTGAACAGAGAAGTTATTTTGGATGCCGGAGTAGGTAATCAATTTTGAAGGAAGATAGGCGGTGCGATGCTAATTTAACCAATTTACACCGATTCTGATTAGGACTCACACTATTTAAACGGCTCTTCAAAATGGACTCCAGCTCATGTGATACTGTCACTTCATTGGATCCATTATCGGCAGAATCTGTGAAAGTTTCAATGAAGAAGCAGAAAATGCTAATAGTATTTGATATAAGTTCCTTTTTGATTTTATGTCCTTATTTTCTGGAGCGGTCAATTATTGTCAATTATTATTGACCTTATTTTCGCGGCGTGGCTAAAGTGGCGGCAAGTAACAGGAGTACTCTGCGACCGACGAATTCCGTTGTATCTCAAGTCGAAAGTGTATCGGACTGTGGTGAGGCCAGTGCACTATATGGAGCCGAATGTTGGCCAGCAACCAGAAAACACGAGCAGATCCTGAGCACGATGGAGACGCGAATGATAAGAGGGATACTTGGCCTAACGAGAAGAAACTGCGTCGCGAACGATGATGAACGACACATTTTCGGAGTTGCACCTATCGCGGATAAGTTGCGAGGTGCCAGATTACGATGGTATAGTCACGTTTTACGAAGTGAAGATAATACAGTAGCAAACAGCACTTCGTCTAGATCCACAGGGGAAGAGACCACGTGGCCGTCCGAAGCAACGCTGGTTGGACACCATTCGAAACGATCTGCACATTGCAAAGCTCAAACCACAAGAAGCAGCTGATCGAGTCAAATGGAAGCAAAAATGCACCACCGCCGACCCTGCAACCGCGAGACAATGGCGAAGATAAAGAAGAAGAAGAAGATTTTCTGGAGCGGTCAATCGCAGCAAGCTGCCCGCAAAGCGATCATGCGCTTCAGGATGTAGCTATAGTGGGGACCCCGGCCAGCTTCTCACAGGTACCTTCGCGCCGCACCCGCAGCGCACGCCTTAAGTGCGCTTCTCCTTCAAGCGGCGCTGAAAGATTTCATGTTTTTCATGTTTATTTGCTTTTGTTGGTCTTTATCTATCTTTGCAGGTTCGAGCAATCCAAGACGATAGCGAGTCATGAGCTTCTACGTGTATTTGAAAGTCCCTAAGTGTTCTTTTATTAAACGGTTCCTGTTTTTTTTTCCACAAATTGGTATCTGCATAATTTTTAAAGAACATTTTCCTTGAAATCTCTTAAACAACAGCAATAGATACGGTTCTGCAGGGTACATGTTTTTAAGCTAGTGTGAAACCTATGTATGGGCCAGTCGGCCTCGTTCGTATAAATATTATTCTACTTACGGTTTTTGAAGCTTTGTTCACAAAAAAGGAATGTTTTGCGAATGAGTTTTGTTATTGTCTGCTTAACAGTTCTGTCATGATTAGCATGTCATAATCTGTCATCTCGCATTTGCACCCATCGGACCGACTGGAGTTCCATAATTAGTGCAAGTTGTACGCGTTCCATTCGCTGCATGTGCTTTTCTCAGGTTGGGCTTAGACGCTTCCACTGTTCATCTCATCTTATTTATGCTTAGACGTGGTTTGCTGCCCTCAAAAAAAAAGAGAAGCAGCAATCCGAACGCGCGCTGCGGGTGCGCCGCGGCGGTACTCTTGGGAAGCTGGCCGGGGTCCACACTATACCTTTTCCATTAACATGCTGTTGTTCTCTAGACTTCCAGCCTTCAAAATGGAACCCGGAAGGCAAAAATCAGCAATTTTTGCTTCTGCTGTTTTTCGCTTACGAATTATGATAGCAATTGTCGATTGTACGTGAAATGAGAAAATATTAGCTGCTTTGAGCCATAACCCAGGTCGCTCTGTCAGAAACGCTACAGCAGGAGTTAGTCCTTACAAAAGTCAATAGAAATAGTGGAAATAATAGGAAGTAAACAGGACTTCGTAAGGCTGAGAGGTGATCTCCATTGAACTAAAGAAGGCCATACTGCCAAAAATGCCTGACAGGATGATAGGAATCTTTTCGCATGACAAAACATGACTTCAATTGCACAGAATGACAAAACTGCCATGCAAGACTTATTGAAAGGTACTTCAGCATCCATCTCACTCCCCTCTCGCCTTGTAAGGTTATCATGTATTCCCTCTCGCAAACCACATAGACGGGAGGTTTGGATTATGAAGAGGGTCTCTGATACTGGGCAGTTGTCTTATGCGGGACCAGACTCGCTGCCTTTCGGAAAAAGGATTTAATTGCGAGACAAGGTGGGCAGAAGGTCGTGTGCACAGCAGAAGTCGATTTTTCATCGGTCTATGCGAAGATACGACCTTGAAGACACCGTTTACCCAGATTCTCGACTCTAATGTTTTGATCCTTTCGGGCCTTCTCATGTCCCTGATTCCGAATATGAAGTTGAGAATTCGCGAAACCCCCGACGATTCCCGTAGGCTCGTTCTCCGGAACGGTAATTGGTTGGGTACGCATGGATGGGCGGCATTACTGGAGAAGGCAATGCCGACTTGAAGTCCTCATGCATCCCGAAGCGATTTTTTTGCTTCATGTTTAGACATTAGCTTGCTAAGGGCTAATTTCATAAGCTGCCAAAAGCTCAAGACCCCTAACTAGGGTGGACAATGCCTTTGAAGAATATCTTAATAAGATTTACCTGTGTAATTAGCTTGTGTACACCATTCGTTGAGATCATCGAAAGCTTTTTTTCTCCTTTTGTTTACCTTAATCTGTACCCAAATACAGTTATTCGTAGACCAATGGTACTATTAGTTTATCACCATGTTAGCAGCTGTAAAGTTCAGAAGATAGATGCCAAACCGCCTGCAATTCTGTCTTCTAGAAGTCTCGTCCAATATGTAAAGGCAATCAAAATCTTCCTTGTAAACGGAAGGGAATATGTACCTAAAGGTAACGGCTGTGATCCGATACTGCAGCACCGGTATTGTGACCATGTATAAATTTATTCTGCAAATGTAAACATTTCCTTCCGACGCAGTACAAAATCCCTAATTTGTTAGAATTGAAGCTGCTTTCACACTTTTCAAATCTCTTAGTCTCGATTGTATGAGTAAAGAGCAAATTTTGAAATTTTATTTCTACTAGCTGGGATAACTTACATGCTTGACTTCAGTCGTTCTATCCAGTAGGAGACGAGTGGGATCCAACTATTGGCTAGATAGCCTTCGCTACTGAACGTGGTATAAGGCAAACTAGATTTTCTTTGAATGTGAGGTCTTCTATAACATACACAAGCTCCTCTACTAGCAGCAGCATGCAATCAGGTAATTGAATTCGTGGGCACTTCCAGAAGCGAAGAAAAATAGACACATTGACTAAATTTCTGTAATGAAAAATTTAATTTAAAAATTTGAAATTTAAAAAAATCATTTACACCGTTCTAGACCTGAAGTAATTATGAGCGGCTCTTTGTCATCATTCATCGTACGTGTACTTCTCCTCTGTGCACTTATCGCTCTATCAAGCGGCTACTACTTGGCAATGGAAGCACCAGAAGAAGGCGGTTGGCGGGTCGCTATCACAGCTTCGAGCGCTTGCCGGTTCACGAAACTGCTTCTTCTCACCAATCAACTGCGTCATCACTCACGATATGTACATCTATAGAAAACTTGCCGGTTCCAGCTAGAGGGTCTCCCGGGATGATCATGCACGATCCGCGCAAACGTTCTGTGTAGTCTTCGCCGGCCGGTAAATCTAATCTCATCAACCAAATGATCTCAAACTCTCAAACTCATCCATTCGACCACGAGTAGTCAGTATTTCTTTTTCAAGATATGCAGAGGTGAAAACCCATTTTCCTTTACTTACGATTTTTATTACTGATTGCCAAGTGTATCCATCACACTCGTTGATAAATGTTGTTATATAAAAAAAGGGAGCATAGGATGAAAAGAAAGAATGCAAATGCTCACCTATGATCACCGTCTACATTGTCATGATGGCTAATTACATCTAAGCCTATAGGAGAAAATGTGAGAGTATTGCCGCTAAGATGCAGTAGCTTTTGCGACAATAGCGATCGTATCAGTGTTTCTTTCCTTGAATAAAGACATTACTAGATTAGCGATGAAAGTTTCTTGATACCGAGATATCGGTGCTACGCTGAGTATAGGAAGAATGAAAAATGAGTTGTAGTGATAAAGAGTGTGTTGCGGGATCCACAAGGAGTAAGATCCTGTAACGTTCCCCCAGTTTGTTTGATGTCACGATATCTATATTTTTAAGCTAACGTGTTTTTTTCAAGGGACTCAACAAACAATTTCCAAAAGGCGCTGGTCGAAAAGATAAGTCAATAAACGATACCTGCTGCAATCGTTAGCGGAGCAACAATTTTGTTTTTTTGAACCGCCAGGCCTTCCTGTATTGTTGACGTACGTAAATCATGACATAGGAGTAGACTGATGCTTCTGTTGAATTGACCCTTAAAATCAATGCTTGAAGGTCGTTTATCTTCCATTCATATTGCGCTACCGTGCACGCAGTCCCTCTCGATGTAGGCACATACTTCTGAGTTTTGAAGAATTTGTAGGGATCAAAAAGTTCACTTCTGGAAACAAGAAAAAGGTGCGGTTTCAGTATATTGACCAAGCATCAAGGAGGAAGGCGGGGTTAGTTGTCCATACAGAGAATACTTTGTTTCATAAGCGACCTGCGTGTACCTTAGCAAGTCAAGCAGACAGCCTTTTCTCTCAATAATTGATCCATTCCAAGAAATCAAGGGAGCTTAAAACAACTCAGTTGAGCCCGTAAGAATTCTCTAACACGTACGTAGAGGTCCAAGGGCTAGCAACTCAGCAAGTCCGAGTCGAACATAGCAAAGAAATTGTATCTGCATGAGCAGCTGGATTCACGGTGTAAGCAAAGAAACTGATTTATCTGCATGAACAGCTAGATTCACGGTGTACGCAAAGAGTTGATGTAACATGATCGAGATCAGGTGCAAATGAAAGGAAAAAGTTTTTTTATAGGTTTCATCTTTCTTTGCCTCGCAACTCAACAAACTCATTTTTTTGGATTTCGCACCTCTGAAACAGGGCTCGCAGTGAGCACTCAAAACCGTACAGTCAAAGACTAATCGCATATATTTTGAGCGAATTAAATTACAACATTTGTACAAAACAGTAGAATGCGAATAACTCGAAGAGTTGATTATTCGTATTTCCTGACTCCGAACGATATTCAAGAATTTTTATCAGAAATTGATCGAAAGTAGTACCAATCGCGCTCAAGTAAAGTACCCTAAATTCCGTACAATAAGTCCGGACTTATCTGCAGTTTTGACACGAAAATCGATGAAAAATCTCCCTCTGCGCCGCCAAAAGTCTTGCACATAAGTCCTCCTAAATCCTATGTCAGATAAGTCCGCAACAGATAAGTTCGCCTATCCTTAGCATGAGAAAGCGGACTTATCTGCAGGACTCTTAGCGGCGCGAGGGCGACTTTTATTGTCAAGAAAGCGGACTTATCTGCTAGGTCTGCTGCGGACTTATCTGATAGGCGGACTTATTGTACGGAATCTAGGGTAGTTGAATGCAAGTTATTTGAAATTTCATATATTTGAGGTTTTGAGATGGCGAATTTTATTCGAGATGAATATTCGAATTCCGAATATTATTCAACAGTCAAAAACAGGAAGTGCCAGTTTCTCTAAGCATAGCCATAGGGCGGGTAAAGCAGTTGAGAGCAAGGCAGTATGAGAAATGCGACATAGACCTTCCATTGTTGCTGTGTCTCGCTTCAGGAGGTTTGAAGGTACAAGCTAGCTGATAAAGTCAAAGTGGCCTTTCCATATGACACCTATACCACTTTATAATTTTCAAAGACAGACAGCGCTTTAAAGCCAAATTATTTCTCAAGATTTTCAAAGTTTTTCTTCGCCTGTCATTTGCGTCCGGCGGCTTCGTCTACGTTGTCCCTCCATCGCTTCGAGTAATTTTTTGTGGAGGAGAAATTGTTCTAAAAAGCACAAAGGACCCTTTTCGCACCTTTTAATCAAACGTTTCGTACAGTTAGATAAGTATGCACAAGTAGCTGCCTACGTTACAAAAGCAAGCAAGACATATCTGACGCACGGAGAAACCATGTCGAAAGACCCATTATGAAGGAATAATGGAATAATTTTAAGAAACAAATAAATATGATATTTAAATATTTGAGATGTTTATTTGATTACTCTTAAAGCTGGTATTTTGACAGATTTTCCAGCGAGCAGGCAACTATGATGCTTGCCGACATTGTCAACGATGAGTGGCTTCATGGGGTCTTAATAGATATGCGGTTTGCCAAGATTCGACTCAGAACCATACAGAAGAGCGTACTAATGTAGGGTAGCTTAGACGAAAAACGAGACGTTCAGCTGAGAATTTTGGAATCCGGTTGAAAAAAGATATTCAAAAACACTCCAAGATGACATGAAATTTATTGTGTGCGGCTTTTTGCAGTCAAGCGCTTTTCCCGCGTTTTATCAGCTCCGTCAGTCGCAGATTCCCAGAACTCGGCGTAGCTAACAAATCGGTTGTGTGACATATCATGTAGCATTTGAGAAACTCTTGCAAAATTTTTTTGGCTGAGGCGGCGATCATGGTGGACGCAACGGGACGGCTTATAGAGATACTTGTCAAGGTCAATAAGGACGATATCGATCGAGACAGATATTTTACGTGAAACAGCATCCCAGTAGCTACAGTCAAGCAGGCGTATGACTCACATAAGAAGAACAGCGCTACGCAAGGGAAAGCGAACATTTACGAAGAACGAAATTTCGGAGATTGCGACTTGAATATGAACCAGCGAACTGGTGTTATTGCTGAATAAACTTCTTACATAAAGTAGGACCTATATCAAACCATGCTGCAGCTTCGCCGTATCATTGTTCCTTTTATACCTCAATATTCAAAGTCTCAACAATACACATGTGCTTCAGTATCGATCCACTAGGTTTCTCCGATGAATTGCGATTGTAAATTCTGAGCTCTTGCAAGATTGACTTTTATAGAGTGCAAGGGGCACTTTTCGTAGCCAAAACTAGGCGTAAAACTAATGGTGACCGCAGAAAAATGTAATTTCACGTCTAATTAATGTACGCTGAGATATCTATTTGAGAAGTATATTGCTTAATCTTGTAGTGAGGGATTAGTACTAAACTGCTTGAGAGCTACGAATAAGTGATGCATGACATTTCCGCATAATGCCAGTTGTGGTGCAAGCTGATTCGAAACGATTATGCCAGTTAGGGAGCTTCCAAACCGCGCCGGCTGCCATCTTTGCAGCCGTTAGCCGCTCTCGCGCCGGTTGCCGCTATTGCAAGAGAAGCGCAGTGGCCAAGACATTGTCTCTCTGACGCGCATGCGGCGCGAAAACTCATTGAAATTCATTTTCTGTGCTTTGTTATGTCTTTTTCTTATTTTTCCACTAGAGGCTGATTTCGAGGTACAAGTCTTTGGACAACGGCTGCTCTAAGACTTGTAGCATTGCGATTGAGGACCAATGCGCCAAGTGTTCCCTACATTCACCTGGAGTTTGAAAAGTTGGCTATTGCGTTTTCACTTTTTATTAACCTCAAGTCTCTTTTGCAAGTGGTGCTGTTTGAACAGTTGGAATATTGAGCAGCATTTGTGCAAATCCACATTGTTGCATGGAGTATGCATGGAAAAACCGCACCACCCACAACCAATACGGAACTTGAGCTAAACAAGCGAAAGAGAGTAGTGAAGAACACCACAAGTAGGTAAACTTTTTGCATTCAAGTTCCATGTCTGTTCTGAGTGATGTACAGGGTGCGGGAGAAGTACTGTCCCTCAAAATAAAGTTTAAAAAATCGGCGTAATTTACAGGTTTTTCTGGTAAATTTGACATAATTCCCAAGATGTGAATATATTCTAGCATCTTACAAAAACTGGCTTCAAAATTCTACAATTTTACCCGGCGGCGGATCCCTTTTTCGCAGCGCATCTCATATCAAATCTTGCAACTCCCCTTTACAAATGTGAAGAAGTGTGAGAATTTTAGGAAAAATGTCTGTTTATCATACGAACTTGAGAAATCTTCTACTGCCTAAGGAATATGGTAGTGGATCTCGAAATATTCTGGAAGTAACCAGTCAGCAGTTACACTAGGAGAAGAGCTGTAAACTTTTCTGAGGAGAAAATGGCTGCGGAGCAACAGAGTGCGATCAGAAAACGTGGCACAGAGACTAAGTGTAATCGTTTATCGCTTCGAAATCGTGATGTAGACAAAGTTCGATGCTCTTTTCATTATTTCTGTAACTGTTGGAATCTGGAAATTTGAATCATAGTTTGGATCCAATTCATTGAGCAAGCGCAGTCCTGACTCGCCTCTTTTGAGAATCTTTGCGATTTGCTTGGGATATAATCCTCCTTATTTGGCCAAAGCAAGAGTCACCAATATATGATTCATCTATTATGGGTATAGAATATTGGAGAAGAGATCTTGCACTACATAGCAGCTTAATTTGAACCTTATATCAATGCTGATGATATAGTTACGGTCCAAAATCGCGCTTGTATGCTACCGGCGCATCGTTAATGGTCTTGCGCGCTGTTATCATTCGTTTAAACGGACAGAAGGGAACAATTTTGAATCAAACTTATCTTTATCTAATCTCAAGGATCTCGCCTACTTATGGGAATCAAAAAACTAAAGATTTGCTCCATATTTGAGGTATTTCAGGAGCCAAACTGGAGA